CATATGTCAGAAATGTCTTGACAGCACACAATAATTTCCCTTTGCTTTTTGAAGATGAATATATTTTTTGGAAAGTTGCCAGGTTTGATGTGCAGAGAATTGTTGCAGAGTTGGCAATTCCTCCACAATACATGTAATATAGCATTTGTATGAATGAAGCAGAGCTTGAAGTATCAGTGTGCGAACTAAGTCCCAATTTCCATTCTTACATGAGTCTACGGCTGGAATTTAAATGGTATTTCAATGCATTTGCCCAGAGCTCTGAGACACTTTGTGTCTCAGAGCAATTCATGCTTAGTCTAGAGCTGACTACGTGAAATGACTCAGAGCTGTCAAAAGAAAATTATGCTTAAAAACTTCAACAATGCACTTTGTTTTATGTTTTTTCTCTGTTCTTTTTTCTCACTTCTTATCTGAGTGTATTTCCTTGTCCATCAGGCAGCGTGCTATTATGAGCAGTGTCAAACATGAGTTGCTGGATACATATGGTGAACCTCTTCTGGGTTTCCTTCCTGCCCCCTAATACTTTGCTTGAAAGGCCTAGTATTACTTCTGCTGCTGTTTTTTTCACTGTTTTCACTTTATTATGTAGCTTGCGCTTTAGCTATGGCACTGCCTTCCCCAGCCCAGCACACGGCATACATGTTGGAACTACAAATCCCATCACTCACCTAGAATAACCAGTGACCATGATAATTGGAGCAGTGGCAGCTGTACTCTAATATACTGGGAGGCAGCGTTAGGGAAGACGCATCAGCTTTATACTCATCAACTCAGAAAATGTTGGGTCGATAAAGCACGTTATTAGTGTAATTTATAAAGTTTACCATTTCGTTGTCCAGTAAATATAGAGGGTCTAGTGCAGTGGTACCCAACCTATTTTTGATCAGGGACCACTTTGACCAGGGACCATTCTCTAACATTAAGGGTTACAAATCGGTTTTTGATCAACTTTAGATTCGGTTTGGTTATTTGGAGTGCTGATTAAGAAAATTGCATTGGGTAGACCAAATTAGCTTTAGTTTCTCATACAGAACATATGCCATCCAGTAGTTGTCATCTGCTTGCCTACAGAAAATCTTATTTAGTAAGCCTCGGCACTATAAGAGGGTTTTGCAAGAGCCGCATATTTTAGTTCTTACAGACCACTGGTGGTCCACTCACCACAGGTTGGGAACCGTTGTTCTAGTGTTTCCTGACGTGTACTTAAGGAAATAATAGGACCACAGTTATATCTAGAGCTGGGTAGCCTTCAAGACATCATTGATATTACCGAACATCAGAAATCGGCATAATGCTACCTTACTCCAAATTTTGGTTCTCCAAATGATATCAAGATCCCAAATACCACCTTTTCTTACATTGGTGAACTTGGGAGTTGTGCTCCAAATATCTAATGACCAAAGGCTCCAGAAGGCTTCAGTGAAGACCTTTGACAAACAATTTGCAACTCAGAAATAGGTTCTTAAAGCTAATACAAAACAAGATACATAACTGAAATGCTTGCACAAATATCCCATTCCGACTAATGGAGGCAATGGACATCCATTATTCTTTAGAATAGTCATAGGTATATATGCTGTTGATCAAATTGAAAAGGCTCTTCATTTTGTTGTTAATCCCTATGAAGAAAAGCTAAGTGCTGGAAATATGCCTGTATGAGTGTCTGTCAGGAGGGATCATACCATTAAATCACAATGGGCATATTTTCTGAGTCTAATGGCTAGTTTTCTGCCCCAGGTTATCCAGGGGCTTCACTGATTCCTAAAAGAAGCAAAAACAGTGGCTGTAAAACCAATTTGGTTTTTTTAAAGTTAAGTGGGAATGCCCTCTGATCTGTGCATATTTTCGCCACTTCTTAGTGTTCCTAGAAAAAGCATTTGCTTTTCATGCCAAATGCTTGTGGTGCCACATGACCATATTTCGCTCGCCTCTCTATTGAATCATATATAGGCAATGTGTGATAATTGGCATGCCCTGTAGTGTCACTCTTTCTTCTGATCTCACTCTATTAACCAACAATCACTTAGCAGAGTGAAAGCGGGACAAATGGACTAGGGAGCAAAGAGCTATTTCCTCACTTACGTAAATTGGTGAGGGGATAATTCAGTTGTTCACATCCCACCTCCAATCTCAATAAGCGGAGAGCAGGCACTTGAACCTCTCAGTCTCTGCATTGTGAGGTATATCTGTATAGATATAATGTGTGACCCCAGGCCACCGTCTTTTAACACATGGAATAAGTGAAGTAGAAAAGGTTTCAGTTTCCTGTCCTATTATCTCCCTCTGTGTATATTGTATAACCAAGGTGAGGTCAGGCTTATCTGTTATTTGTTTTGCTGCTCAGCTAATTCAGTGTTAGGTTACAAGAAAATTGTGTTCATCTCTCCTATGAAAGTCCAAAATTGGTCCATTCCAAGACAAAAACTATTTTTCATGAGGCAATTTCACAAGTTTGGCAATTATCTCTTGATAACAGTGAATGTTATGAAAGTGTATATGGAAAATTAGCATGGTCTAGAAGTCGACTGATTCATTCCCACCTGTTTCAGGATGTTATTTCTATGAAAAGTTTCTAGACCTCATGCCTGGTTTTAAAAGTATGAAGTCGTGGGTAGCCTTCTAAAATCAGATTTTAGAAGCTACATGTACTATAGAGCTGATATTTCTCTTCCAATATAGGAGATATAACATCAGACTTTTTTGCTCTTCCATCAGAGTACCAGCATTAAAACGAGGTGCACTTTGCCTCATTTATGGAGGTCATATAATTGAACTTGGTGTATAGTGTTGCTCTGTGTCTTCAAGTTGTTTCTGCCTGATGGCGATCCTCACATCAACCTATCTTGAAGTTTTCTTGCCAAGATTTGTTCAGAGATTATGTGCTTTTGCCTTCCTCTGAAACTGAGAGAGAAGAGAGTGATTTGTTCAAGGTCACCCAGTGGGTTTCAAAGGCCAAGCTGGATTTCAAATTTTGGTCTCCAGAGTTGTAGTCCAGTGCTGAAAACACTACATCCCATCGCTCTCTCGTGTGTATTATCTCATGTTATTGTATAATTAAAGAGCAGAGAACTAGTCGTTTCTATTTTAAAATGTCACAGAAGACAGCTATTCCTCCTTTATAAATAATCACGGCCTTAATGCAGACATGATGGCTTCAATCCAGTGAAAGCTAGTTATGCATAAGTCTCATTCAGATCAAAAGGACAAGTTACTTATGAGTAATTTATCAGTTTTAATAGGGCTTTAGTGTTTTCTTTTTTGGATTGGAGCCAGCTGCTGCAACAGTGCGTTATACATGAGCGTTGGCACCTGTCAAGGCATGTGGATGGCCATTCCTTCCTATTCAGAATGGGGGGTGGGGAAGAGAATTTCACATTTGTATCTTTTTTTGAACAGGAATACTGAAGGCTGTGTTGCTGGGAACTACTTTATATTGCTCAGGATTTGGCAAAGTTCAGGCTTGTATATATTATGAGAATGCATCTCCCAGGATCTTCACGATTTGCTATGTTCGCTAGGTCTCCTATAAACTGCAGTTCAGTGAATCAGGAGGCTGTGGTTTCCCCACTGGGGTATAGCTATTGAATAGTTTATACACAGATCTCTTCCTGATGAATTTATACTGTATTTCTGTGTTGTATTTTCCATGTATAGTTCTGGCTTTATGAGAGTTAACGTTCTTTGAATGTGTATGCATTTATTCAGTATCCACTATGTATTTTCATTTATCAAAAAGCTGTTTTGCTCTTGGTCTGAGAAGGAGTGCGTGTGTGTAATACCAGTGTAATAGTCTACTCTCTGTTGTATCCAGATTGACTAGTTATATTTTGGTCTTGGAGTTCCCCCCCCCCCCCCCCCCCCCCCCGTGATGATATATACTAATTTTATGCAGCATTTTAACACGGTGACAAAGATTGCCTAGCCAAGGAACATACTCATTTGTCTTTCCCAATTACATTTTAATTGGAAGAAAATGGCCAAGTGAGGGATGTGGGTAGGAAGCTGGAAATGAAAGAGTTCTGAAATAGCATTGTCTCAGTATGCATCTTATGTGCTCTGGGCATAATCCTCATAGTTGTTAACTCCACTTGGAATGCACATTGCTGTTCCTAACTGGAGCCTCTGGTGGTGCAGTGGGTTAAACCCTTGTTCCAGCAGGACTGCTGACTGAAAGGTCGGCCATTCGAATTCAGGGAGTGGGGTGAACTCCCTTCTGTCAGCTCCAGCTTCTCATGCAAGAAGCCTCCCGCAGGATGGTAAAACATCCAGGCGTCCCCTGAGCAACGTCCTTGCAGATGGCCAATTTGCTCACACCAGAAGCGACTTGCAGTTTCTCAAGTCGCTCCTGACACACAAAAATAATTCTATAACTAGAACAAGATAAGGTTTCAAAAACCCACAGTCATGGCAGTTTCTGTTAAAAAAAATTGTATGGTCTGAAAATGTAGGTACAGGTTCTTTATTTGAGTTTGGGTTTAATAGTCTCAGGTTTTAATCGATCCAGAGGAGGTATATTCTGCTCAGCCTCTCTTGGTTTCTTTGCAGCAATTTGCTCAGTTTCCTCACTGTCATGTGGTTTGGGGGAATGTGTAACTTACTTCTCAGATTGTCCTTATAGCATAAAATGATGTGGACTATTATGTACCCTTTCCTCTTTCCATAAGCAGAAAGGTATACAGTAATCCTATAAGTGTAATTGCACCATAATTGCAAGGGGCAATAGACATCCATCCGAGCATGACAATACTAGCTGTCTTGAAATTACATGACCACTCCAGAAAATTAGTTTTAAAGTGATCTGTGGCAAGCATTCCACATACAGTTTCTTTCCATGTCTCAGTTACTTGAAAGTCTGTGTTATTCAGCAAGTTAAACTGATATAGAGAAAAGAATAAAAGGATGTATAACAAAAATAAAAATAAATATTGTAAACTGATGTCTTGTTTTGGATCAAAACTTTCCTCCTCAGGTATAAATATGTCATTTTTCCTTTGCAGACGGTGGACATCCATAAAGAGAAGGTGGCCCGTAGAGAAATTGGCATTTTGACGACCAATAAAAATACATCCAGAACACACAAAATCATTGCTCCTGCAAATATGGAGCGTCCTGTAAGGTATATTCGAAAACCTATAGACTACACGGTGTTGGATGATGTGGGCCATGGTGTAAAGGTAAGAATTGTGTTCTCTTTCCAAACATGCTCAATTATTTGAAATAATTATTAAGTTAGCTGACGCATCTAGTCTATCTAAAGTAGTCCTAAAAGGTTAAAGAACTATTAAACATAGCCCAGTTTGATACCACTTAAAAGTTACACCTTGCTCCGTCATCTTTGTGAACATGACTCAATTTTATATGCCAAACTGGCACTAATAATCCCTTTAAGGATGCACCAGGATAGCAAAACAAGAAACCTCAAAGGCCATGGTGTGATTCAGATGTAGCAAAAAACAACATTGTCATTTAATCACTAGCTAGCATGGTGTCTAAACCTTAAATTGGGGCAAGTATGGGTCATTGAAACAGCCCAGATTCATCAGCTTTGTATCAAAATTGGCTTATTTCATTTAGCTATCAATAGCTAAGATTAACGACAGTTTTTTTACGTTTGAATTTAATTGTGAATAGCCTAAAACTGAAGTACCGATTTCCATTTTTTTCCTGATTACATCAGAGAAATAGAAGGGAACAGGGAGTGTCTGAACCTGGAGATGGCTGTGACAATGTGCTAACTAGTTGCAATTGCTGTGGGTTTCAATCTGTGTTTATGCTCTCTGTGTGACATCCAGAACTGGAAGGTTTCATGATCTCTGTGCATCACAAACATAGACCTTTCATCTACAGAGATCCAAACTGAATGCACCAGAACTCAGTAGCTTTTGTTTCTAACCCAGCTCCTTCAGGCACCGGAAGAAATAGTGGTCGTAACTTGGGTAGTTTCTCTCCTTTTTCCCTCTTTTAGTGTACCTTTACAACCTCTGTGTTTTCCTACGCCTCACTAACCTGTTTTTTTCCCATCTTGGTTGGTGATTCTTTTCTTGATTGCCCCCTCATCCCACCCCAGAATTGATGGGATGAAAATCCCTCACTTATATGGACAAAGAGTACTTTTTTGAACTTCAGGAATGCAGTTATCAGGGTTGATCCTCTCAGCTTAGTCATGGACAGCAACAGAGCACTAGAAAACAAGCTTGCTCCCTCCTCAATGTGACATCCTTTCAAATATGTAAAAATGGTTATCATGTCCCCTCTCAACCTCTTCTCCAAGATAAACACATCCAACTCCCTAAGCTGCTTCTCATACAGCTTGACCTCCAGGCGTCTCACCAAATTTGGTCATCCTTCTAAGGACATGTTCCAGCTTGAATCATTGGTATTGTTCTAGATCCCAGGTTTTGTGTAGTTATCAGTTATTTTCATGCCATCCTACATTACCAGGCACTGATGGACCTATGTGTATGAGAGCATAGATGACCACTCAAAGAGCTACAGTTACAGACTGTCAGTTATCTCTGCACACCTTGGTAGAACCGCCCTCTGGCCCAGCAGAGCAATTTATGCAAGGCACTTCCTTCACTTCATGTAAACACATGTTGAATGAGTTCAGAGGCATGTTAAACCAGACAGTCAAGCAGTATTTTAAACTTTATGTCTCTGATACATTTTATGGAAACCAATGTCAGAAGAACATGGACCTTTCTTTCCAGAATCACAGGATTCAGTTTCTTTTTAAAGAAAGGGAATACAAAAAAAGCAGAAATTTTAGATCCCTCCCCAAGCTTTGGTTCCATATAAATGTGACTATATCAGAAAAGAGCTCCATGTCATAGTTCTCTAACAGTAGGATAAAATTGGAGAGATGACTTTGTGACTTGGCTTACAACATGCCAAAATCTGAAAATGTGATCTAATTTACCTATCCCTCCAACACATTTACTGTATATACCACAATGTTGTGTTAATAGTTGCAAAGTATCATCATACTAGATACTTTTTAATTGTTGATGTTATAATCTGTTTAAATTGCATTATACTGTTTTGTGATATTTTGCATTGTTGTGTAAACCGCTTTGAGTTGCCTAAGGGCTGAGAAAAGCGGTATAGAAATAAAGTAAATAAATAAATACTTTTTGGATTTGTTTCCAGATCTTGATTTTAGTGTAGAGTTTATTTATGTTTTACAATGGGTTGCCGTTTGCCACAGTTAATACAATTATTGGACCATTTGGAGTACTTACAACAATTAAGCATGGGTTTGGAATTCCCTAGAAATTGCTGTTTCCAACCATGAATTCATTGATAGTCATCTGAAAGGCACTCACCCTGGGACTTGGCTCCAGCCCCCTTGTTTGTAATATGAGTGTAAACAGAGACTGGACATGCTACTTTTTTGGGACAGCAGTGGCTATGATGGCTGAGAGACACTTTGCATTGTAATTCAAAAATGTAACGTATCCAAGCCCTGGGTGTAATAATAATTTAACTTTGTAGAGTGCTAACACTTGAACCCACTTCGAGTATTTAGGAAAAATAAGGAACAGTTGAGAGCCAGCAAAGTCTAGTGGTTTGAGTTTTGGACTAGGACACTGGAAGACCAGAGTGTGAATTGCCTCTCGACCATGGAAACTGACTGGGTGACCTTGGGCAAGTCACACTCTAAATCTTAGAGGAAGGCAAGAGCAACCCCTCCTCTGAAAAAATTCAGCCAAGAAACCCAATGTCTGGGCCACTTTAGAGTCTCCGTAAGCCAGAAATAACATGAATGCGCAGAAGAAGCTTTTTATTCTGGGTGTTTTTTAAAGCAACACCCATGATATGCCAGAATGAATATAAGGACATTAATGCAGCCTACATAAAGACAGAATATTTTAAAGTTATTGAAGAGTACCAAATATAATGCATATACGTGGACAACGTGCCTTCCTGTGCATGTAAAATATGCAATTTCTCTAATCTTATCTCCAATTCCTGCATCAGATAACAGTTGGAGAATTTCCCCAAGGTTGTTGCTGTGAAATAAATTAATGCAAATATATGAAGAGCTATATAACCTTCTTAATTAGATCTCATTTTCTGAGTATATGTTGCTTGCAAAGAAGATTGATTTTCTAGACCATAATTGATATATTTATAATTAATTAAAGTGTGCTTAAATGCATATGTTAGGATAAAAAGACTTGCCGTAGATGGTACACATATCTATTCAAATATTTGTTAGTCTGTGTTGTTATTAGACAATGTCCAGAACTGGAAGATCATCCTTTTTGGAGGGAGGGGTGTTTTTCATGTAATCTTCATTGTTATATAGGATTCTGTTTTGTTAAAGGCCAGGCAGACATGCACCAAAGAACATTCTTAAGGGTGCTGGTTTTTCTCCTGAACCACTATCTTCTTGCATCTCTTTCAAGTGTTTACAGGATTTTTAATGCATTTGTTGGTGAAATGTCGGTACTGCTGTATTATCTGAGTGGAGGCCACAAGGGGACGCTAGAGAGAGAGAAGGATAGTCCATTTTATGTGGGTGGAAGGTGGATTGAAGGAGGAAAACCATTTTACCCTGTTTCCCTGTTATTCCCTCACCCATGTCCCCATCATTGAAACAACCCTTGTTTATAATATGGGAGGGGGGAAAGGGGCATAACTGGCTATAATGGGATAAATGGTTTTCCCCTTTCAACTCCTCCCCACCCATAAAATTGACTATCCATCTCTCTCTCTAGTGCCCCCCAGTGGCTTCCACCTGGATAATGGAACAGTACTTAAATGTCTGTTTCAGAAGTGTTTCCCAATTGCTGAAGCTCTGTCACCATTTTTTTAAAAAAAAACACCAAAGTGTATTACAACAGATGCCTGCTTTATGCAAAATTAAAAGTGTATTCCTGTACCTGGACTGTAAATGTCAGTGGGACTGTACAGTGAAAAGGGGGAAAATGCTACTACCAGTACTGTGCCATTAGTATATGAACCTGCCACGGAGAGTAATAGCTTTGCCATTAATGTGTACTTTTCTTCCTCCTTTTCTTTTTGCCAACGTAAGTGGCTAAAAGCCAAGGTAAGAGGAGTTATTTCTCATTTGACCCACCACACCCCATGACAATAGAGGCTGCTGAGCCGTTACACCTGAAAGCTAGCACTTTCTCTTTCCTGTATTTCTCTGCTCTTCCTCTCCTTCCCTCCCCATAGGTTATTTTAGACATGCTCAACTTCAGCAACTGACAGTTAATATATCACTGATATATTGACATATGCATTTTACCTATAGATAACATTTAACTCCTCTAACATACATAGTGCTTTGCTTTCATTCAGTAGATGCTTTTTCTTTTGTTGATCTGTGTTTTAGATAAGGCTTCCTGGAAATACTTGCATGCCTATGCTAATTAGATAGCTGGACTAAGTAAATGAATTAGTATACCTTGAATACAGAATACATTTGGTGGATCAAAAACCTTCGCTGAAATAAGGTTTGGTTCTTGAGCCATTATTTATGCTGAGTGCAGCTTAGGTTTCATTTACAGCGAATATGAAATTGCAAATGGTGATGTGGGGTGGGAGAGAGAAAGAATAAAAAGCTTAGACATTGATTTCTCTTATTCTGTTTAATCCAGTATGCAGTAGGAGAAGCTGAAGTCTAATAGCTGTCTGGGAATCCTCAGTTCACATTAGTGTATTGAAGCATTGCATTCACATATAGTTTGAGCTATTTCCATCCCCAAAAATTAAAGCGTTATTCTTGTTTTCAGCATGGAAACAATCAGCCTGCAAGAACTGGCACTTTGTCAAGAACAAATCCGCCTACACAAAAACCACCAAGTCCTCCCATGTCAGGCCGGGGAACTTTGGGGTAAGAATAAGACTTCTCATTCTGCTTTTATGTTGACAAAGAACACAGTTTAAATTGCTTAGATCAACATTATCTAGCATGTGAGGTCCTGCTGTCTTCGGATATTAAATACTGTGTGCAGTTCACTTCTGATATGAAATATTAGCATTAGGATTGAGCTTTTTAAGGAGCTACAGATTGTGTTAAATAATTGGCTGTCTTGGCCCATTTTAAGCAATTTAACCTGATTTTACTGGGATTATTTCCAGAGTGAGTGATATATGGGATTGCAGTTTGTGTGAGAACATTGCAGATTGGCTTGTCTGAACTGAAGGTGAAGATTTCTTATTTCTGAAAAGGACACCTCTGAAATAGTTAGATCGTTCTGTTTAGACAGTCTAGCAATTTCAGAAAATAACTATCCAGTCCATGTGCTCAATTTAATCCAGTGGATATTTTCTCTTCCTGTAGCTGGCTTTACAATGGGTCTCAACTTGTGGGTCACAACTCCTTTGGGGATCGAACGATCCTTTCACAGGGGTTGCCTAAAACCATAGGAAAGCACATATTTCCAATGGTTTTAGGAACCGATACACCATGGACTTTTTTCTGCCCCTTCACTTCCCAGAGGACCCTTCTTCTCCAAAGGAAGGTGGTGACATCACTCAGCCCCACCCCTTCCACCTCTCTGCCATTTTAGGAGGAAGAGATGGGAGCAAAGGAGGTACGGTTTGTTTTGGAGTAAAGGTGGAGGAGGAGGAGAGGAGGGAGAAGGTGAGTTGGGAGAGCAGGGCTTAGAGAGGGGTGGAGTGACCCATCCAAGGCCAAATCCCATGGAGAAAGAGAATTAACAAGGAAAATACATCCTGCATATCAGATATTTACATTACTATTTATAACAATAGCAAAATTGCAGTTTTGAAGTAGCAACGAAAATAATTTTATGGTTGGGGGTCAACACAACATGAGGAACTGTATTAAAGGGTCATAACATTAGGAAGGTTGAGAACCACTTCCCTAGAACACTTTTAAGGATCTGGAATAAAAACTAAAAAGGGGCTTGGGAGAAATAAGCCTTGGCTAGGATGAGACATTGTTTGTAACACAGGAACATTAGAATCCAAGAGCTTGTTATGGGTGAATACACTCAGCTGCAGCCTTTCCAAAACCGATCCTGTCCAGATAAGATGGACTGCAGCTCCCATCATCTTCAATCAGCCTGGCCGTTCTCACTGGAGGTTATAGGAGTTGTATCCTGCAAGACATCTGGAGGCCACCAGGCTGGGAAAAGTTGTTTTACTGACTCATCAGGAAGGAAGTCAAGTAGCGAACCCAGACAAATGATTTTAGATAAGTGGCTGTGCTGCTGGAGTTAAACCAGTAACTCAATAATTTCCAAATCAATGGCTGGGAGGCTTCTCAGAAGACTGGGGCATTTTCTGCCAGTGCCATGAATGATCAACCAGGGCTGGAAACAGTATTTAGGATAGACGTCATGCTCTTGGAGAATGTGGATGGGAATCCAACAAGCAGTACTTTGATAACGGAGTTGCCCTGTTTATATGCTTCACTCCACTTTGTGGAGGAGTCAGATAAGTTATGAGAAGGATGATCAGGAAAAAAGCACTCCTGCTATGAAACATGTATTATTGGCAGTTTATGAGTACACACCACAAAAATTGCTGCATTGAATTGTGGGGTAATATTGTAAATACAGAATAATGAATCTGGCCTTTTTGCTTTTTCACATTTTTTTTGTTCGTTTTTGTTTTCTTCCTCTCAAATTTGAAAGACAATTTCTGAATTTTAGAAAGGTCTCAAAAACGAACCAGCTAAATTTTTCACCCAGCTGCATTGACCAAATTTAGTTAGTACAGCTATTCCCAATATGGATAGCAGTGTATTATAATAGCTGTTAAAGATGAGGAGCATTTGAGAGAAATCCCCAGTTCAGAAATACATAAATGGTTGATCATGCAAGGACTCAAAGCCAGCCCTTGAAGAGCTAATTCCTCAAAGTTCTGGGCTTGGATGGCAAATCTGTGGATTTTGGAAAATGAGCCAAATGAAATCTGTCACTCATCAGGGTTGAAAAGTCCAAGAGAGCTCAACCTGGCATTCGTATTTAGATCTTTCCTGTTCCAGCAGGGATTCAGTATTTTTATTCTTTCTTGTCTGTTTCAATTTTATTGCAAGTACGTTTTGATGGTGTTTGAGTGATTGAACTTTTTAATGATAAAAGTTGTGATTTTGGTAATTATTTTTGCTTTTATATTAGCAGAACCACTTGATTAATTGAGCATTGCCAATTGTGCTTCCGTATTTGTGGGTTTAACTTTTACAGATTTCGTTACTTATGGATTTGATTAATGTGTAGGAGTATTTGGGTCCTCCAGTTCAACTTTATTGTCAGCTTCTGCCAGAGGTTTTGCTGGAGGACCTAGGGATTCCTAGAAAGGTAATCTCTCACGTATTTTGTAAAGGCTTTTTTATTCATATTTTTTATACTTATATGAGAATCCTCTTATTCCAGCAAATATGGAAGGCTGAATATTGTATGAATATTTCAAATAAATAAGCTTAAGACATTTAAGAACTCTTGCCTGAGCTAAAAGACAAACATTGAGCCTGAAAAAAGACTTTAACTCTGGCTCAGTAAAGCATTTGTGCGTCTCTATGTGTGTAGAAGGCACAACTCTTTTGCTATGGATAGAAACTAATGCATAATGTCACTCATCATCATTGGGAAATGTACAAAGCCAGTTTAGCAAATTTATGCTTCAGCGACCTGGCATGAAATTGGTAGTACTTTAATGGATACTTGAACTGTAGAGGTGCATCCAAATATATTTAATATTTAATATCTAAATGCATTTAATATTTAGAACTTCAGTTAAGAGCTGGCTCTACAGTTCCTCCCAATGTGCAGCTGACTTGTTGATTTGGGACTGAAACACTTTTTAAAAAAAGTTTAAAAATTGGGGATGTCTTTGTGCGTGAATCGGCTTTTACCGTGTTTATTTTTAAAATGCTGTTTTCTGCTTTCTAATTGCCTTCTATCCGTTTTAGATTTTTAGTGGAAGTTTAAACAGACCATATGATAATTTTTAAAGCTATATGTATGTATCGTTAAAAGCAGAAGCTGCCAAACTGAACTCACTCAGAGCAGAAACTATGTAATGTAGGTTGTAGGCGGGTGTTTTACAGAACTAAAATTCAAGATGACAGTGCGGGGTAGAAATGAGCCATTAGCGCAAAACCATTTTACAGAGCAGAAGATGGGAATGGATGGATGTATAAATATGCACTGAGCAGACAGAAGTTGCTGAGAGCTGGAAAAAAAGAGTGTTAAGAGCCATCAATTTGTAGAAATGCCAGTAAGTGCTATTTAGTGCTAAGAGGACTGAAGGAATTAATTATTTTATTGTGCACTAATTCTAGGAGTAATTTTTGAATTTTTACAGCTAGTGATTTAGATGTATTGGAGATGAAGGAATGTGGATAGGTGGGCGTATTTTTAATAGTGTATCTCAACCCTCTTTTGGATTCAATTAGGGAAGGCAACACTTAAGGGTCTTTTGTCAAAACCACTTTGAGTCCCCCCAGGAGTGAGAAAGGCGGTATATAAATACTGTAAATAAGGAAATAATAAATAAATATTTACACCAGAGTGACATTTAAACCACTGATTTATCCCACTAAATTAGGTATGGGCAAACCCCTTGGGCTTTTTTCTCAGTCTCTCCTCTCACTCTCCATCCTATCCTTCCTTCCCTCTTCCCTCCCCTCTTTCCCTTTCTCCCACTATTTCTTTTCCTTTCCTTTCTTTTCCTTTCCTTTCCTTTCCTTTCCTTCTGTCTTTCCTTCCTTCTCTCTTTTCTCCCTCCCTTCATTCTCTTCCACCCTTCCTTCCATCCTTCTCTTCCAGCCTTCCTTCTCTTTTTCCTTCCTCTTTTCCTCCTGGGGAATGTTTAACTGGGAAAAGAGTAGGTAGAGAGGGAATGTGAGAACCATGTTTCAGGATTTAAAAGTCCTATTGAGGAGGAAGAGGAGGAGAAAAACTGATTTTTTTCCTGCTCCACAGAGACCAGGGCACAGGGAAGCAATAGTTTCAAATGACAGAGAACGAGATTCGACTGTAAAGATTAGGAAGAACTTCCTGGAGAATGGCATAGGTGGCTTCAGAGTATGTTGGAGTCTCCTTCTCTGGAGGCTTTTCTGCAGAGGCTTATTGTGAGTGCTTTGATTGTGTCTTCTTGCATGCCCGGGGATTGGATTGGGTGGCCCTTGGAGGTCTCTTCAAACTCTAGAATTCTATATCAGGAGTAAGCAATACAGGGTCTAATGGATATATTTTTTTCTCCCCCTTCCACCATCTCATCCTGACCAACACCAACCCTTTCAGGATCCAAACGCTTTCCTTATTTCCTTCACTTTCTGCCTCCGAAAAATAAGAGGAAGGGGAGGAAAGGGTAGCGAGGAGACTTGGGGAGAACCCCCTCCCTCTCTCCCGGCCCACCCCCACCCCCCACTCTGGCCCACCATGCAGCCTCCAAGTTAGAAAGTTTGCCCATGCATGCACTAAATAGAGTAGTGTGGTGAATCCATGTAACATCCTGAAGTCTTGCTATCTAGAACTGTTTCCAGTATTAATTTTATACATACAATACTTGTGTATAGGTCAACCTCATGTATAAGTTGAGGGTGAGTTTTGAAGCCAAAATTATGGATTTTAATATCGCCCTAGGATAACTCAAGGATCATTCAGCAGATAGAGGAAAGTGCTACCCCCTGACAGCAATTGCCATTTTCCTGCCTTGGTAGTCAAAAGTCTTGAAACGATGCTGCAGCAGAGAGGCACATCAATTCATTCAGTTTCAGTATCATATTTGGCACACCAAATCGGCATTTTAAACATATTTTACTTGTTTCTATATGGTAGGAAAGGATTTGCATAATTGCTGAGCACATTTATCAGGTTTCCTGATATCGTAATTGCAGAGTACCGTTTTTTGCTGTGTAAAATTCATACTTTGCTAACCTACTCAAAACTGAGTCATAAAACAGTTACGAATGTAATAAACAAAGCCAGGGAACAAAACAGATTGTGTAGATACTTTGGCCTTGTATACTTTCCTGTTTGCCTTACATCATCTCACAGGAAATATTTGTGAAACTTAAAAAATATTGCTGTTTTTCTGAGAAATGCCCATTCTGATAAATGTAGGGCAGGCGAAAGGCAGCTTTCTTATCCAGCTGACTTCTAATTGACAGGCTGCATCAGAGCAGGATTAATCAGCCTTGTATCCTGCCTGCCATATTCCATCATGAGAGATGAAGAATTCCCTGATTCTTTTTACCTGATATGCCTAACCCAACCTTCGTCTGAATAAAACAGCTAGTTCAAATTCAAATAAACTTCATTCAGTAAGTCCCTCCCCCACAAGACATCATTTATATATGTTTCTTTAATGAAACGGGTCCCACCTATATTCTGATTGGCTTTTAGAACTTCAGAGGTTTTAAGAGGATGCACTATTGTTTTAATTGTACTGTTTCTCATTTCTTTATATTACTTTACATTTGTTTTTTTTAATATTATGAGTAGTGTAATTATATTTTAAAGTTGATCTTTGTAATATTTTAACTATATTGTGCTTCATTTGATTTGTAAGGTGCCCTGAATCCCAGTTTGGCAGAATATAAATAAAGATGATAGATGATGGTGATAATAATATGGGAAATAGCAATGGGCCTTGTTTTCTCCAGAATTGGATTACACCTCCTAGCATCTTCTCGCCAGCTGTACAAGTTGGGTGATTCTGAGAGCTGTAGTCCAGTGGGAGGTGTAGTCCTATGGGAACGTTTTCGGGGACACATCCTTTGGCTTCACACGTGGAGAGGTTGTGTATTCTCCTGAAATAACTTTAATTGTTTAGATATCTATCTTTTGGACTTATGTTTCCCTTAACTCATTTTTTCCTATGAATTTCAAGGGAAAGATGGTGATGGAAATGCATTAAATTGCATTGTATTGAAAGGCTGTATATTTTGCAGTTGGTTTCTCCTTCATTGTTAAATTGTGTAAGAATAATGTTATACCAATACCAATACAATTCTTTGCTCCGTAGCTGTCATATCAATAGCTCTAGTAGATATGACCGGGATGCTTCTCAAAGCATCAACCTGTTACTGCTCGGATAGCTAAAGTATGATATTATATTCACATGTCTTAAAAGTCCAGCCACTCTCTGAACATATATGAGCCTTCTTCATTAAGTAAGGGGCCCTTGGTGTTGCAGCAGGTTAAACTGTGGAGCTGCTGAGCTTGCTAACCGAAAGGTGGGTGGTTTGAATCCAGGGAGCAGGGTGAGCCTCCGTTGTAATGCCCAGCTTCTGCCAGCTTAGCAGTTCAAAAACATGCAAATGTGAGTAGATCAACAGGTACTGCCTTGGCGGGAAGGTAACAGTGCGCCGACCACATGACCTAGGAGGTGTCTACAGACAATGCCAGCTCTTTGACTGAGAAATGGAGATGAGCACCAACCCCCAGGAGTTGGACACGACTAGACTTAATGTCAGGGGAAAGCTTTTACCGTTACCTTTACTTCATTCAGTGATACATACTAAGCTGTAGGGTAGCATTACAGTAACTTGTTTTTCTTGTAAACTAAGAAGGCTTTTGTCTCTCTTTGTGTGTATCTAGGCGGAATACTCCATATAAGACTTTGGAGCCCGTTAAGCCACCAACAGTCCCTAATGATTACATGACCAGTCCGGCAAGACTTGGAAGCCAGCACAGTCCTGGAAGGACAGCATCGTTGAACCAGAGACCCAGAACACACAGGTGGATTTTGAGACTTTACAAATGACACAATAAGAAACTGGATTTAGATTTAGCTCAGTCTAAAATAATGATGAAGAAATAAGAAACCTAGTGCCATTCAGATCTTTAGGGTTTCAAACCTTTTGGACTACGTCAGCATGGGTACTGGTCAGGGATTTATAGCAAATGTTTGAAGGGCGCTGGGTACATATTATGCAGTACACTACGACAATTTATACAATCTGGTACTTTTTACACAGAGGTTGGATGTCTGTCAGGAGTGGTCCCTGGTCAAAGTGGTCCCTAGTCAAAAAAATATTGGGAACCTCTGATGTACTGAAATATGTGGTCTTCGATAGTAGGGCTGGTCTTTCTTTGGACAAAGGAAGTGGAACTCTCTGCCCCGGAGTGTGGTAGAGGCTCCTTTTTTTGGAAGCTTTTAAGCAGAGGCTGGATGGCCATCTGTCGGGAGTGTTTTGAATGCAATTTTAATGCTTCTTGGCAGGAGGTTGGACTGGATGGCCCACAAGGTCTCTTCTAACTCTATGATTCTTTGAAAGGAAGAGCCAAATAGAACTATGGATTCAATCTGCGTGCCTTTTTTTTAGTCAGGAGGTAGACGGATGTGGCTGAAGGCAGATTTAAAAAATAGTTTTCTAACTTTCAGCCAAATTCCAGAATGGAGAGCTAGCAATAATGACCTCAATCATTGGTGGTCTAGCATAGAGAATCAGAGTGCTAGCTACCCTGAGCTCCTTGGAAAAAATGGCAGGCTAAATTACACCACTGAATAATCACCCAAAAATGCATACTCTGGAGTTAAAATTAAAGATATTAGAGTCAGAGCAATATTTGACTTGCTGTGTGCCATTCCTTCCCTTGAAAAAAAACAACACCCCTCAAATAAAATAAAATTGATAGCAATAGTATTTTGTAGAGACAAAAACACATACACTTGTTCCTCCATATCAACAATTTTTATATCCACCAATTCAACCATCAATAACTCCTTCCCCCAAACAAAACAAAATTCCAAAAGTAAGCCTTAATTTTGCAATTTTATATAAAAAACACCATTTTATTATACCGTTGTATATAGTGGGTCTTGAGCATCCACAGACTTCGGTATCCAGGAGCAGAGGTCCTAAATCCAAACTCCCATCAGATACGAAGGGGAATTGTATCTTGTTCTCAGTTAAACTTAGGAGAGTGAAATTTTGTATTAGGTGGTGCGAGGAGTCAAAAATGCCATATCTATCAGACTGAAAACTGTTCAGTTTTATGAAGCTCGCAGCACTATGTAAGTTCTTGTATACGTTTATTTACTTCTATTCAAACATGCCAAATTTCTATTGAAGCTTCTTTTGTGCCACATCCAGCTGAATGTTATTGGTTTTTCTTTCCAGCTGGAGAAAATGGATTAATTCTATGACAAGCACAGGAAATAGTAATTATCAGCCTTGTAGTTACCAGCCCATGGCATAATTTCCCATCAGCCTTCAAGTTCTAAAGGGGTTCTTATTCGAATGTGTCCTTAGGTTGAACAATCACATTTAATCACCTCTCATTTCATGCAAAACTTGCATTTCAATGCAGTTACTTTTCAATTCAGAGTATTAAGTCAAGGAAAAATGACATATGCGAACCACTCCCATTCCTCTAGTTTGATATGTTACCGTCCCAGGAATTCCAATATGATCCCCCCCCCCAGTAATGTAGAATGGTCTCTAAATCCTCCCTAGAAAAGGCATGCAGTATTTCTCGCTTGTTCCACATTGCCCAGGCTTCTTCTGAATGAACAGGAACATTTTCGCATTTGCTTCCTAGAAGTGTCAGCCATCCTCTGGAGAAGAATATACTGCAGCTGCTCGCTTTAGGGAACTCGAGGCAAGATTTTCCAGTACGGTAGTTTCTTGGGCTGCATTAATGGCTAAAAGGCATAGCAGTGGTCATTTTAATGAGCAGCACTGTGAATTTGTTTGAGCTGCATAATGAAAGTTCAACATTTGCTGTAGATCTTGTAAAACGACAACAGTTCTATTTTGAGAGAGCCTGCAGTCAGTTAAACATTGTCTTATTTAAAACAGTTGTATTAAGTGCCTTCTCGTGCACGCATTATGTGAGGCAACGGAAATGGACTCTTCAGTGTCACAAGTGGTTTGTGGTACGAAATTCAGCTGTAACCATGGCAACAAGTTCAGGATCTTTGGCACGCAGAGCACTAATTTTTGTGGGAACGAACTCTGATTCTCATTACAATCTTTGATATCTCTTTTATGCAGCTCTGTGTGTCACTGATTTTGAATGCTTGGGATTGACAGTGTCTTGTTTTAGACGAGTATGCAGAATGCAATGAAACTGTATTTTAATATATTTCTGCATGACTCGTTTACATTTTAATGCATTCAGTAGCCTTAATGTCAACTGGCAAGTAACAGCTAATTTACCTCTCCATTTTGCTTTGAATCTCTGGTGTGAGTTTCCTACAGCTAAATTCTGACCCACCCAGGGGCACTTTGCAGCTCCATTTTTCCATGGGAGAGGGGGGATCTCAGATCCTACTCAGTTGGGTATGTGAACTGGAGGCATTGATGGCTTTTTGGATGCACAGCACTTCCTCATTCTCAGTTCTGTGCTTAGGAGATCATTTAGTCCTTGTTTCCTCATGCAGATTGGTGTTGTGTTGTCAAAGGTTTTCATGGCCGGAATCACTCGGGGGATGTATGGCCATGTTCCAGAAGCATTCTCTCCTGACATTTTGCCCACCTCTGAGGATGCCTGCCATAGATGTGGGTGAAACGTCAGGAGTTACTGCCTCTGAAACATTGTCATACAGCCCGGAAAACTCACAACAAACCACAGATTGGTGTTGTTTGATTTGTAAATTTTATTCATTGGCAGCATGAGATCTCTTGATCCCCTTCTACACTTAGGATCGGTGTGAGTGTGGATCAGCCTGCAGGAGGCCACAAAGCACACACAGATTGATCCAGTTTAACCCAGGGAAAGTCGCTTAATGTAGCTTGCACCCAGATTTTTAAAATACAGGTAAAAACCCAAATCCTGCACTATGATTCATGCTTTCTTCTGTGTTCAGGCAATGTAGACACCCTTTGCTTATTCCTGTGAGGAATCAGCATTGGGTGTCCAAACAGCCATCGCATGCTCCCTCGTGCTCAGGTGGCTTGAGGCTGTAGGATGGCTGTCCTGCCCTCTTCCACCCTGTGGCTGCCAGCTACAAGGATGATGGTGTGGTCTCGCTCCTCTTGGCTCCTTTACCAGTCACGTTGAATGAAATAAGGAAGAGAGTATGTCTACCTTGACGTCGGTCTCCCTGTCACTCTTGTAGATGGCATCCATGGAGTGGGAGACGGGTGGAAATTGGGACCTGCCCAGTGGTGGAAAATTTGCTTTGGTGTGGCTGGGAAGGGTGGACACCTCCTGCTGCTGACAGTCTATGACAATGGTTCTCAACCTGGGATCCCCAGATGTTTTTAGCCTACAACTCCCAGAAATCCCAGCCAGTTTACCAGCTGTTAGGATTTCTGGGAGTTGAAGGCCAAAAACATCTGGGGACCCCAGGTTGAGAACCACTGGTCTATGATATGGGCTGCTATGAGTTTTCCAGGCTGTATGGCCATGTTCCAGAAGCATTCTCTCCTGACATGTCACCCACATCTATGCCAGGCATTCTCAGAAGTTGTGAGGTCTGTTGGAAACTAGGTTTATATATCAGTGGAATATCCAGGGTGGGAGAAAGAACTCTTGTCTGCTTGAGGCAAGTGTGAATGTTGCAAATGGCCACCTTGATTTGCATTTAATGGCCTTGTAGCTTCAAAGCCTGGCTGGTTGCTACCTGGGCTTGCTGGTTACTACCTGCTACCTGGGTGGATCCTTTGTTGGGAAGTGTTAGCTGATTCTAACTAATTCACAACCTCTGAGGATGCCTGCCATAGATGTGGGCGAAATGTTAGGAGGGAATGTTTTTGGAACATGGCCATACAATCTGGAAAACTCACAGCAACACAGTGTTTCCAGCCATGAAAGCCTTCAACAACACAAGTCTGTGATATGTGCCTCCAAGTCTCCTTTCAATTTGTAATTTTTCGTGTTTTCTTAGGCAATACACAGAGGTGGTTTTGCCATTTTCTGCCTCCTAATATACCCTACAGCACCTGGCATTCATTGACACCCTCCCATCTAAACATTAAATGGAGCTGGCGCTGTGTAGCTTCCAAAATCAGATGCGATCTGATGCCTTCAGGGAATTTAGGCCTTTCCTGTTGTTCAAGAAAAGTTATTTAGTGCCCATCACACCACAACTACAAATCATGTGTTCGAAGCTACTTAACATGCAGTTTATCACCCTTAATTACTGCAGGCTTCCTGTAACCATTTAGAACATTACGTAGTCTAATAGTTCTTTAGTTCTCAGAGTGTTCTTTACACTTTTTAATTAAATGCTAAGAAAGCTAAAACTGGGCCTGTGTGAGAGTATCTAATGACCTAGCTAATTACATCTGTATCTGTTGCAATTTCATGCATTCTGCTCTGCTGATATGATAATAAGCAGCACGGATCTCTCTGTCTTGAATAGATCCAGTTTATAGCTCATGGCTTTGTCATGAAATTGAGATAATTTGTCTCACTATTGATTTCATTTTAAAGTTGCTGTTCTTGCAAAACAACTGCTTATGTCTTTGCATTCTTCTTTTTGTTTTGTTTTGTTTATTGTAGTGGTAGTAGTGGAGGAAGTGGCAGTCGAGAAAACAGCGGAAGCAGCAGTATTGGCATTCCCATTGCCGTGCCTACACCCTCGCCACCAACTGTTGGCCAAGGTATTTTCTTGACTGCCTTTTTCGGCAGTATCCTTTCTTGATCCAGATGCTTCTGATCATCTTGTTTGGGTCAGAGGAACACCTTAATTTTTTTAAAAAAACATTACATGTGAGATTTTCATTCTTTACTATTTCAGCTTTGTAGGCAAGTTCTGAATAAATGCAGTCATTGGTATATAGATGCAAAAAGGTTACTCTGAATATAACACCTTCATTTATAATGTTCAGAAAGGCAGAAGGGATAACCAAAAAAGAACACTAAGAAAAACGAAAAGTGCTTCCCACTTATAGAAATAGACTTGTCTCTATAATCTATCAATTTCATTAATACACATATAAAATAAAACTTGCAATATTAAAATAGTTATCCTGCAGGAATGTAATAAAAACCAGCTTTTCAATTCCCATCCGTTGACAGTAGTTAATTATAATAATTACTTCTACTTAAACAAAGCAATATTCAATTTTTCAGAACTGAGCTCATACTAAAATTTTATATTTAAACATTAAAATTAACAATTTAACACATCCATGATCCATTATTATGATAAGATGATCCATTGGAACGTGTGCCATAAATACCATCTGCCTGTGACAAAAAACTGGTGGGATCACAAACTTGAAAACGTTATAGAAAATGAACACGTAAAAACTACTCTGGGACTTCCGAATTCAGACTGACAGAGTTTTGGAGCACAATACTCCTGATCTCACAATCGTGGAAAAAAACCAAAGCATGGATTGTCGATGTTAAAATCCCAGACAACGCTAGGATTGATAAGAAGCAACTGGAAAAGCTTACACGATATGAGGGTCTAAAGATCGAACTGCAAAGACTCTGGCACAAGCCAGTAAAGGTGGTCGCAGTAGTGATCGGCACACTGGTTGCAGTATCTTTAGGTACTGCAATTGGTCAGCACTTGAAAACAAATCAGCACTGACAAAATCACCATCTGTCAACTGCAAAAGACCACCCTACTTGGATCTACATGCATTATTAGTCCTAGACACTTGGGAAGTGTCTGATATGTGATCCAGTACAAAAGCCAGTATAGTGATCTTGTTTGCTGTGTATTAAACTTGTTGTATATCAAATAATATTAATAATAATAATAACAATAATAATAATGCCTTATTTATAGACCACCCTATATCTCAGAGGGGACTTATTTATTTATTTATTATTTGCCAGGGGGGCGGGACGGGGCGGGGGACTCAGAGCGGCTAACACAGGCAGCAATTTGATGCCACAATATCAATAAATATCAGTATAAAACCATAAATACATAAAAGGTTAAAAACAGTAACAATTAATTATATAAACACATAATCAGATAATCACATATCCATTTCCAAATTATCATAACAGTTGTCAGGTCCCGTTCCATGTTCCAAAGTGCTGCTGCATCCACTAGCCGAAAGCCTGGTTCGAAAACCATGATTTTAGTTTTTTCCTGAAGGAAAGCGTGCTTGCAAACAAAAAAGGAAGGCACACATTCAGTGTCTTGGTTAAAAAACATACACATTAGTCAAACAACATTACTCTGATCACTTTTTAATGGCAGAAATCCATTATCCACATTATATAATTCTATTTTTTCTCATAATGTAACCTCAACATAAACTTTCATATTACTTGGGTGAATGAAAAAAAATCTACTTCAGGACCATTTAATCCCTTTAAGTCCCTATTTTGTTAATTATCTTAACAGCTTGACTTTAAGATTACTACATAAATCAGCTCCATGTCGACACCATTTAAACCTATTTTAATCCAGGTTATATCTTAATCTTAACACAGGGTTTCCCTTGCTCCCCTCCAAAGTTGGCAAAAGATTGAGGCAAATGCCTCACACTTAGCAGTAGATACTTTAGATGTGGTTTTCTATAACATTCTCCCTCTTCATCTCATTTTCCTTCTCCAATTCCCATCCCTGATCACTTTAATCACAGTTTCAGCAATCTCATAATTTTCCTACTTCCAATGTCCTGAGTCATAACAGCCTGATCTTCACCCACATGCTTAGTGAAGCCTTCCTCCTCAACTAATGTCAAGATTCTCTGCCATCTCCTCATTCATCTTCTTGGATTATTTTCAGTTCCCTGCCTGCTCTCAGAATTACATGATGTTCTTCATGTTCCCTCCCTGACTTTGGCAATGTATCCTGCAATTCCACCACATATAGATTCTGAGCTAGTTGGTTCATTTCGTTCTCTTAATACTCCTCAAATGGTTCAAAACAGTCATTATCCTTTAGTATCCAAGTCTCATCTCTAAAAAACTCTTAACATGGGATTGAACATTCCTCCTATTTCTATCAGTTCACCAAGCAGTACTTGAAAGAATGCAGACTTTGGTGTCTACAAAGGGATGTCTCCATCCTTTCTTGAAATACAGATATTTCTCCACATCCAGCACTATGGCATATAAAACAATAATTTAAGCTCAAAAACACTGCCCAATAACCTATGGTGAGAACAGTCATAAAAACATGGCCAAGTGTACACAGGAACAAGGGAATAGGATAATGCAAGTTGTAGCTAATGAACTAGGACATGGGACGAAAGTGCAGACACCTGTATCCAATCAGGGTCTTCACAGTATCTTGAAAATTTGAATTCTGGACCAAGTCTTGACTTGGCAGTTTGAACTGTTTTAATAGCACACATATCTGTTCCTTCTCCTCCCGAAGCTCCACCAGCACCTCCAGTGCCCCCGCCTCTCATGATGGGCAATATGATAGGTGAGATCTTCTGAGTGTGCTGGAATTTCAACAGTTTGTTGATATAACACCTGATAATCCTACTCTCCTTTCCTCCTCTTCTTCCAACTAATGCATTTATAACTTTATGTTTTATTGTGTGTATATATATGATCTAGCATAATAATGGAGTATTAGGGATTTAACGACTTTAATCCCAACTAATATTTCTGTGGTGAAAGTCTCTGAAGATTTAAACAAAAATACAAGAACCTTCCTTATACTGCAGGAAGGAGACCTATTGTTTTGAGCCCAGAATGATCTGCACATTGATTGTCAGTACTGCCTCAAGATTTCAGGCAGACAGTTTTCTTGGTCTTCTTGATCAAAAATCTTCTTGTAGGACATACCAAGGATTGTTGTATACAGGCACATAGTCTATCATAGACTTCATCCACATGAATATTGTAGTTCTCCCCAACCAAGTGTCCCCAAGATAGTTTCTGTTCTCCTAGTCCACATGATCAAGTCATGTGGCCCAACACATCTGAGGGAGAGAGAGCAGCATGATAAAAATTAATATGTGTTGTATATCAGGGTAGGCTTAATTTAGGTGGCTTGCTTTTTCCTGTCCATGTTTGCATAAGTTATAGAAATGAGCTGAAATATTTGCTTAAGAATACATGTTTTTGCAAGAATCAAATTGTAACTTTTCTAAGATATGCACTTTATATACTTAAGCTGATTATTTTGCTCTGGTCATGCTGACATTTACAAAACATGAACTTGAGAGGCTTTGACCCAGATAACATTAGTGAACGTTCTGTTAATCTTAAAAGTCCAACAGGGTTGGATCCAGTTGTGGCTTTGTGGTAAGTACTTCCAGTTGTGCCTAATACGGCACCCAGTTATTGCTGACTGATTCTACCTGCTGCATCCTTCCATACCATCTTTAGTGTTATTTTACAGGATTCCCCCACAGCAGCAATTTTCAAACATTTGCTGTGAATAAGGAGTTTGGCAGGCTCCCTAGCTTGTGAAAACGGAAACATCTATCAGTGGAAAGTCTTTAGACCATTGCCATATATATTTGTAACGCATATTTATCTGTATATAGTGATATTTTATTTCAGAACTGTGAACTGCAGAGGAAGGAGTCTTGTACATTAGCAAATAAGATAGTTGCATGCTTTACGAGGCCACTTTAGATTTAAAAGCATGAAGTGTTTCATCACCTTTGCTATTTGAGTAAACTTGGAGAATTGTGAATAGTCTGATCATCATTACTTATATAGCAGTTTTGTGCAGTCTTTTTAAAAATTAATTCATATTTAGGTAGCCAATACATTCTAAGTTGACAATGAAGGCTGTTGGCGATTCTAATCTGTTAATAACAAACACTATCTTTAAAACTCTCATCTTTAAAGACCTGAGAAGATTTTGAGGATAAGGTCATCACAATTTTGGGAGAAAAGCTAAGAGTTCTTCATTAGTCAATGGGGCAAGCTTAACCTGCTTCCTTGCAGGAGGTTTATGTTTGCAAATTTATTAATTTATTTATTTTCCTTTTGGAGGTAAATGGAAATCCCTTGAATTTTAAAAAGCTAAACGTGTTTGTGGTTTCCATCTCATTCTTTTCATTCCCTTGATAATATGAAAGATACTGCATTTAATTTTCTTGAATGCAATGTAGGCAAATCAATTTTATCGGTACCATAGTCTGAATATTTAAATGACTGAATCCCTCAATGAAATATTAGCAGGGTGAATAATCACCTTTCCCCACTGAACACGCACGGGCACAAATGTATGTTAGGTGTTCTTCTTAATCTTCTCCGTGAACTCTGTGGTTTTGGGTTTCATGTGTTTGCTGTACTTCGGACTTCATATATCTCTTAATTCATCTCCATTCGCATCTGCTTTTTTTCTTTTTACACTCAGTCTGTCCTAAGGTGTTATTTTTTGGTTTTGTTTTTGGCTTATGTCTTGTTGGTTCCTTTTGACTCCTACGTTTTAGCTGTTCCTGGGTCAGCTCCTGGTTCCCAGTACGGCACAATGACCAGGCAGATTTCCCGACACAACTCTACTACTTCCTCGGCCTCTTCTGGTGGATTTAGGCGGAATCCTTCTGTGACCGCTTCATTTTCTGCTCAACCTCATGTTAATGGCGGGCCTCTCTATTCTCAAAATTCAAGTAAGCTGCTGGGTTATTGCAGAGCACAAAACTCCTGGGGCTGCTTTTGCAGAAACCATTTTGAAGGTTGTACATTGCTTTGGAGTTTATTCAGGCCTTGTTCAGATATAACAATCTTGGTCTAATAAAATATGATTTATTGAGCCAAGGACCAGTCTTGAGCTGGCATGCTATATGTCTGTCGCTCCCTTCCCTTGTGTGTTTAGCTTTGGCAGTACTGTTATGGTTTAATGAACCACGGTTTCCTGTTGCACCTGAACTGAGAAACTGTAGCTTAATCTCTGACCATGGTTTTATTAGAACTAAGATCACTACATCTGAATGGACCTAAGAATTTAACCTATGGTTGTACTAAGCAAGAACCATTTGAAAAATTCTTCAAACCGGTATCAAAGTTGCTATTTCTTTTCTTCACCTTAAGTTTTCTTTGTTTCTCACTATGGCAAGAGTGTCTCTCATACTGGTCTGGTGGGTCATGTGGAGTGGAGCAAGAGTGAATTTATTTTTCTCATCACATCCCAAGTGTCATCTTCAGTGAACCTGCATATTCATGTAGGAGTTTTGTATTTGAAGTGATCTGTATCGAACAATGGTACAGGTATAGTCAAGACTGATGCAACTGACTGTCTGTTTCATTGAATACATTTGAATGTGCTGCATCAGTTTCTACATATTAGGCTGTATGCTTGCAGTCTATATCAGTCTATATCACAGTGCAGTTTCTCCATATATAGGGATATTTGGGTGGAGGTTAACAGTTACAATGGATAGATGGGTTCTTGCTCCTCTCCATGTGATGAGGTGGACCATAAGATGAAATTAAATTTCCATCCCAGTCCATACTTTTGAGAGATGCTAGATAGATATTAGTATTTATCTGCCATGTTCATTAAAGAAGTATAAGTAATTTTTCAGTAGGACAAAACATCTTCAGAAAATGTCCTCGTTGTTTAATGCTGTCATGGGTTTTTTTTTTTAACAGCACATACTTTTACTGTATCACTAAATATTACTACTGGCATTTAATTTTAATTTGCTGGTTGTTTTAATGTTTTTCCCCCTGAAACGTCTAATTTAACGCCCCAGTATTAACAATATAACCCCCAAGTTTCCAATTCCTTTTGGCTGAAAGTTTCATACCAAGAGAAACACCTAGTTTGGGGGAATGAGGGCAAGAAGAAATGATTCTTGGAAATTAAATCTTTGTAAAAGTGCTCGTTGTGTTGTGTGTTGTTTATGTTGGCACAAGATGGTTTTGAAGTCACCTGGGTGCTGGATTTAATTGTCAAATTACAAATATTGAGTGATAACACTGTTTAAAATGTTGATGTACTTGGAAATCTAGAACCTGTTTCAAATTTGTGATTCCAGTCATATTACTCTGCTGAACACAGAGCTTTTGAGACGTGTTGAATTTAGATTTGAAGAAATGCTACAATAGAAAGGTATCCTGGTACTCTATCTGAGAATTTTAAAGACTGTCTTACTGTTGTTACAAAACTTGCTAGTGAGGCCATATGCAAAGGTACTTCAAAAAATAAAAAGCTAGAACAATGGAAGGCCTTAATAGTCTAGATCAGTGGTTCTCAACCTCTGGGTTCCCATGTGTTTTGGCCTGCAACTCCCAGAACTTCAAGCTAGTTTACCAGCTGTTAGGATTTCTGGGAGTTGATTCTGGGAGTTGAAGGTCAAAACATCTGGGGACCCACAGGTTGAGAACCACTTCTCTAGATGCAGATTGGACACAAATATACAAAAAGTAGGTTTGTGGAATTAATGAGATATAGTTTTTGTCTTCTTCTAATGTAGATTTAGCATACTTTTGTTGTGTTTGAGGAGGCTTGGCATTTTCTGTTAGGCAAGTTTCAGAATGAAAGATGTACAGATCATACACAGAGATAACATCCACTTTTTTGGCTCCTTGTTGACATCTTTCTTTCAAATCACTACCATTTCTTTCACAGTTCACTTAGAACTCAATTCAACCTTCAGTTCACAATTCAACCTTCTCATCAACCTAAGTATTTTTAAAAATATATAATTAGAATCTTTCTTGCACACAGATCTCATTTTGATTGCATTATGTAACTTGTTGATGTTGACTGCTTTGCCAATGACAGAGAACCATCCACATGATGCTTTTATGCAAGTTAAAAGTTATGAAAAATTTCTTGACAGTTGAACATAGTATGTTGAAAGAAATTGAAAGTGTATCATCTTGATTTAACTGAAATGCAGCAATAAACAAAGCCCATTGCAAATATTATATCAACAATAACAACAACAACTTTATTCTTATATGCTGCCACCATCTCCCCAAAGGGACTTGGGACAGCTTACAAATGGGACAAGATGTCCACAAGACATAAAAGCAAAAACAACCCATAAAACAAAATATATTAAAATAGGAGCATCATAAAATACAACAGCCAAGATAAAACAGACTAGATATAACAGAATAGAACAGATTACATTGAAGCTCCATTAGACCAGGTTTAACATAAACAATGACCAAGATTTCTAAAATGGGCATGATCAAGCTATGAAAAGGCCAGGGCAAGGGATAGTGCAAATAGTGTACCGTAGGGCCAGAGAAGTGGATGAAGTGCAAAACAGAGTACTATCTGGCAACTTAGGGACTGGGCATGTATAACCCTGGACTAATTAATCTCAAATGCTTGCTGGAACATCCAGGTTTTCAAATCCCTACAAAAGGAGGACAGTGTGGGGGCTTGCCTAATCTCCCTGGAGAGGGTGTTCCAAAGTCAGGAAGCCACTACTGAGAAGGCCCTCTCCCTCGTCCCCATCAGCTGTGCTTGTGATGGTAGTGGAAGCGAGAGGAGGGCCTCCCTGGCAGATCTTAGAGCCCGTGCTGGCTCATAGGGGAAGATGCGATCACAAAGATAGGTGGGGCCCGAACCGTTTAGAGCTTTGTAGGTCATAACCTGCACCTTGAATTGGGACCGGAAACTTATTGGCAGCTAGTGAAGCCTCTTTAATAGGGGCGTCATGCACTCCCTGTAATTAGATCCAGTTAGGAGCCTTGCTACCGACCTTTGCACCAGTTGCAGTTTCTGGGTCGTCTTTAAAGGCAGCCCCACATAGAGTGCATTGCAATAATCCAATCTGGATGTAACCAAAGCATGGACCACTATGGCCAAATCAGGCTTCTTGAGGTACGGTTGCAGCAAATATGTCCTCTTGGAATGTGTAGGCTAGATGTAAAAAAAAATAAATGGAAATTCTACCATACATATTGATCTGTGCACCCAATCATTTCTAACAGGCTTCAATTATATGCAAAGTTGTTTTAAAGAAATATAATGGCAAATATCATCCTTAGAGCTTTTGATCTATTTTCTGAACATTAAGTTCTAGGGCCAATTGTAAAACACAGTTGGTACCTGCTGGCTTTCCTTTTTTTACCATGGAATCTTATTGCAACATCTGCATCAAAAGTTACAGCTTTTCTCTTGTACTAAGACTTTGCTACAAGATGTTGTTCCTTCCGTGACATCAGTGTTTCCATGTTGAAAGCAAAGATCATAGATTATAAGCCTGTGGAGGGTACACTAACATTTTGTAAGCTGCTCTGAATGAAGAGCAGGGTGAAAAAAAATTAAATAAACAAATAAATAATTTTTTTTGAAAGAGTCAAGTAATTTTAGTGAAAGCCAGAGTGTTGTTGGCACTTTTTTCTCCGTGTAGTTGCCTTTTCCCTTTTTTCAACTTCAAGTTGACTTAAAATAGAGTTCAGCAGTAGTTGTATTATTGGGAAAGCAAACTTTGAAGGAGGTCCTGTTGTGTGCCTTTTTGTTGTTCATTGCATACCTTGTTTTGTGATCCATTGTTACTGACAGCTGCTTTTTGTTTTTGTTTTCCTTTTTTTTCTTCCTGTATCTGTGTTTACTCCCCTGTTTGTGGTGTGTGTTGCTTCCAGTTACTATTGCTCCGCCCCCTCCCCCTATGCCTCAGTTGACTCCACAGATACCTCTCACAGGCTTCGTGGCCAGGGTGCAGGAAAACAGTAAGTTGGGCAGCTCAGCTTCACCAAAGAGTAGAGCCGGCTCTCTCTTTTTCTTTCTCTCTCTTAGCATGCATGGCTGGCCACTGAGACTCTGCTGATAGATTTTATTGTTTGGGCGAGTTATTTGAATTTGTTTCCTTCCCCAGGTGCTAATGATGTTTGCAGTCCACTGCTGTTGTAGAATTGAAGGGTGCCGTCTCAGTTTTTCCAATAGCATCTGGAATTACTATTATTATTAGTGACATTTTGGCACTATGAATATGCTCATTGACTGGGAATGGTGTAGATGTATATGCACATGATTATTTTTCTTCCTAGATACAAACACATAAATGTATGTTTGTGTGTAGTGTATTGGAAAAAACAAACAAACAACAGATTGGAGAGGACAACCCTGTCTTCAGGTGAAGTCTGGATCCCGGAAGGATCCTCTAATATTGAAGCTGATTTAATTTTGATTTTCTTTTTCATGTCAGGAGCGACTTGAGAAACTGCAAGTTGCTTCTGGTGTGAGACAATTGGCCGTCTGCAAGGACGTTGCCTAGGGGTCACCCGGATGTTTTACCATCCTGTGAGAGATGAGAAATGCTTGACCTCAATAGCATTTGTTTTGTTCTAAAGCTAAAGGAAATTCTGGAAATTCGTGAGGAGCTGGAGCTGACAGAAGGAGCTCAACCCACTCTCCCTGGATTCGAACCACTGACCTGTTGGTCGGCAGTCCTGCTGGCACAAGAGTTTAACCCAGTGGTTCCCAACCTGTGGGTCCCCAGGTGTTTTGGCCTACAATTCCTAGAAATCCCAGCCAGTTTACCAGCTGTTAGGATTTCTGGGAATTGAAGGCCAAAACATCTGGGGACCCACAGGTTGAGAACCACCAGTTTAACTCATTGCATCACTGGGGCTCCAGCTGATTTAATAAAGTGATTGAAGACGTGTTCAAAACAAATGCATGTATTATGTAGTCCAGTATATTCTACACACAAACACACCCATATTTACATAAATAATCGTTTCGATGTCTGGCTATTTAATGGAAATTTTTAGGACAGGAAATCCTATGAAAGACTGCATGTGCTTTGGTTGTTCACCTTTAAACTCTATGTGTATATATTTTTTTGGTCAGTCTCTCATCCAAACACAAGGTTGGGATGATCTTACTTAACTTTCAATAACAAGCTGAGAATACTCTATAACAGTGGTTCTCAAACCTGGGGTCCCCAGATGTTTTTGGCCTTCAACTCCCAGAAATCCGAACAGCTGGCAAACTGGCTGGGATTTCTGGGAGTTGTAGGCCAAAAACATCTGGGGACCCCAGGTTGAGAACCACTGCTCTATAGGACTAATTAATTTTGCTCTTGATTGTTGAAAGGTGGGTATCTGGTTTAGTTTTATGGTATCCTAGAAACACTTCATTACAAGTATTTTCAGAACATTATTAAAAATCCCATCTAACGGAAGTGTTTAATACACATTTGTTGTTAGTGGATTGTGTGTGTGTGTGTGTGTGGTAAGATACTATGTACATCTTGAAAAAGTGTCCTGCCGCAGTTTTGCCAATAATGCAACTGCAGAATTGAGATTAGATGGATTAAATTTCTCCAGAGCATTTCAAAGGTGAAACCATCATCTGTGCAGTAAGCTTATGTGAAATTCAGATGCAAAGAGTACACTTTATAAAGGGGAAATTAACTCTGGCTAATGAGTTCTGCTCAGCAACTTTCTGAAGTTGCAGAATATAAGGGCCTACACTTCTTAGTTCAGATAAATCCAAGCAATTATTTTTGCATTTCTCCCTACATTTTAAAATAATGAATAAATGGAAAAGTATTGATTAGTGATTTAAAAACTCAACTGCTTAAAATGTAAATTAAATGAAGGTACATGGAGACTTATAGATTTTATTATGTTTTTCTTCATTATGTTGAGGTATCAGGAGAAAAGCAGTTCACTCCAACTATATTCCAGTACCTGTTGAAAAGTTTTGGTATAGGATGGCTCCTTTATGCACAAAAATATTTTCATTTGCTGGAGTAAGATGAGATTTTTTTTCATGTCAGAAGTAACTTGAGAAACTGTGAGTTGCTTCTGGTGTGAGACAATTGGCTGTCTGCCAGGATGTTGCCTAGGGGATGCCCGGATGTTTTACCATCCTGTGGGAGATGAGAAATGCTTGACCCTCAATAGCATTTGTTTTGTTCTTAAGCTCAAGGAAATTCTGGAATATTTATGGTCGCTCAAAGTCATTGTGGATCCTGTTCATTAACTGTTCTACTTTTCTGTAACTGCCTGTTTCTTACATTTAATGGCTTAGGACAAAACAAATGTAATGCTTGCAATTTGCAGCAAATTTGTATTGGAAAAGTGGCATCCCCATCCATTTCAGTAGGTCTGATGGTAGAGGTTCTCAGGGTATACTTGTCATTTTACATTTGACTGAATGGAAGAAAAAAATGAATCAGATTCTTATCTACTGCATACAAAAAGAAGGCGCTGTATAGAATAGTTTTTAGTAGTCTCAGGAAGCAGAGAACCACATTACTGCCTTTATTCAGTTGTTTACTTCAATTAAAGTAAACTCAATTGAATCAACAGGAATTTGGAAAGTCAAATGTATGTTCCATTGAGCCAATGGGTCTGTCCTGACTGTAATGAGCTGTTGGATTTTTTCTGAAGAATACATTTTAGACTACAGCCTCCAGAATCTTCTAACTAGCATATCATTAAAAAAATAATGTCTCCAAGCTGTATCAAAGGCCCATCTCTTCTAGCATCTGCTAATTGCAGAGATGTTTCCAGGCATCTGATACTCCAATATATGTAGAATACCTCAGTTGCACCAAAACATTCTTTGTGTTCTTTAGTGGCTTCTCTTAATCCACTCTATGTACTGGGTTCTTTGACCATCAATGCTGAGTTAATGGATTTACTTCTGCGATTTACAGGATGGATTTAGATGCCTATAAGTGAATTTGCTCTGATCCAGCACTGCTGTACATCTCAGAGTCACATTGCTGTTGTATTACAGTGAGGAGCCTCTTATTTAGGATAATGATTGTTGCACATGTTGGGATATAAATTGGAGATTCATAGACTTGTCAGAGGGTGGGTGGACTATGCCTGCCAGATTGAGCTATAGGACTGTGGTGAAGCTTCCTGAATCTTGTAGACCACTCAATGTGTACAGTATGTAGTTTTCAGTCATGTAGGATACCAAAATAAGAGGACAAGAGACACTGCAGATTACCTAAGAATATTCTTCCATCAGTATATTTGGGAGATAGTGTTGAACTTGAAGTTCTACTCATACCTCTGGCTTTCTCTCTAGAAGTTCATTAATTTGGAGGAATCTTTCTTTCTGGTGGCACCTGAACTCTGAAATGCCCTCTTGAAGGAAGTATGATTGGAACCAGTTATTTGCTCTATCAGATATCAAAGTGATACACTTCCTTTTGTTCAGACATTTTGAGAATTCTGACATTATAAAACAGTCTAAAGTGAAGATGAGGCACATGTGACCCTCTAGCGGGACTCCCTTTCCCCATACTTGTGCTTGGTAGGGTAATGGCAGTTGGAATCCAATAATATCTAAAGTAGGCATGGGCAAACTAAGGCCCGTGGACTGGATGTAGTCCTCTGGGCTAACCTCAGGCCCTCCTCACTTTCCCTGTACTTTCAGCGTAAGGACATGATGGCCCAACACATCCTTATGCAGAAAGGACAGGGGAGGAAGGCACGCTGCAGCGGAGAGTCCTCTGGAGTGCTCTCAGCCACCACATGTTTCGCCCGTCATAAGGACAAGTGTGAGTGGCCCCATCCTTATGTCAAGAGGACACCCCAAAGAAGGCACGCAGCGGCTGAGAGCCCTTCGGAGCACTCTTGGCCATCGCCTGTCTCGCCCTCCTCCCAGCATAATGCCGAGAGGACAGCCCGAAGATCAGGGGAGGAGGATAGGGACAGTCTCCGCATGTCTTGTTTTCTTCCCAGCATAAGGATGGGGGTGAGCAGCCCCATCCTTATGCCAAAAGGAAAACATTAGAATGATCCAGGCCCTACCCCGCCCCTCCCAGCCCCATCCTCTCACAGGCCCCCTCCCTCCCCGGCCCCTCTCACCCAGCTCGTGCCTGGCTGCCCTCCCTCCCTCTTGGCTCGGTCCTTTCAGTCGAACCCACAGTGCAGCCCCAAGGCAAAAATGTTTCCCATGCCTGATCTAAAGGGTCACCCTTACCCTTATGGTTTATTGGTGTTATGGATTTTATCTTTAACGGTTCTTTAACGGTTTACTTTTATAATTGTCCTGGGGTTGTCTTTGGCAGTAATTATATCTATGTCTATATTAAAGCCTTAAATAAAACATCGTCGAAATGACCAGAATGACACATTTATGTTTGAGCTTGCAATCATCAGCAGGTTCCATCTCAGCCTGTTAAACAGGAAGTGATGCAATGTTTGGCATCATCATCTTTGGCATCATGCTAGAGGTCAGCTTAAGCCTTTGGAGTGTCTGCTTTGAAAATAGCATCTATAGTTATGTGGCTGCCAGTAACCTGCAAGGCTGTATATTGTAGCAATTTAACACATCAAGCATTCATTTCTAATCTCTGCATGATACCGTACGTAGTGCATGCCATTAGCTTCTGTAGAAGATATGGAGCCCTGGCCATGCATTTATATGTATTTGCTCAATACCTAACAAAGTCCTCCTTTCACTGACTTTCTAGTTGCCGACAGTCCAACTCCGCCTCCGCCACCTCCACCTGATGAGATGCCTATGTTTGATGACTCCCCTCCACCTCCACCTCCACCTCCAGTGGACTATGAAGATGAAGAAGCTGCAGTAGTGCAGTACAATGATCCATACGCAGATGGAGATCCTGCTTGGGCACCTAAAAGCTATATCGAAAAAGGTGAAGTTCTAACATATTTGTATTGGAAGATAGCAATATATGACCCCTATGTGTGACTTATTTTTTAATATATACACGCCCTGCTTTTCTCCTTATGCAATCCCCACAGCACTTTTGCAGGATAATGCCAATCTCACAACAAACCTATGGCAAAGGCTTATGTGAAGGACTCGGTTACAGCCACAGTCTTCTCACAACTAATAATACACCGTGGACATAAAATTTGGCCTAGCTCATAGGCTATATCTGAGAGTACATATGTCCTATAGAATTAATTCAGTTTGATGCCTCTTTTAACTACCATGGCTCAACGCTATAGAATCATGGGAGTTGAGACACTAGCAATATTTGGCAGAGAAGGCTAGAGTACTTGTAAATCTACATCTCCCATGATTCCATAGCATTCAGCCATGTCAGTTAAACTAGTGTCAAACTGTATTAATTCTACTGTAGATGCAGCCTAAGAATCAATAAGATGTCCGAACCATTTTAATGTTGCGATTTACCATACTGTGAGTGAGTCACAGCGACCTCAGGCATACCTAATCTCTTGTCTTCCCTTATGGCTGAGAAAAGGAGTTTTGGGAACTGTCCACTTTACATAGCCACAGCTGGCTAATTATTTACACTAGTGATTTACAGGCTTTAGCAAAAGGAATTAGATTTCTATACCACAAAATGAAGTTGCTTTATATTGAAAGCAAACCAAGGGTACAGTTGTATTAAAAAAACACAAAGTTTAAAAACTTGGCATTAAATTAAATTAAATTAAATGGTTTTATATGGTTTTTATAATATTAGGTTGAATGTTTTTAACTCTTATTTTTGTGAATGTATGGCATCAAATTCTGCCAATTCTGTAAGTTGCCTTGAGTTGCCGTAAGGCTGAGAAAGGCATTCTACAAATGCCATAAATAAATAAATAAATAAATTTCTTTGTCCAGTGGCTGGCCACTTCGAGTGCCTCTGGTGTTGCTATAAGAAGGTCCTCCATTGTGCATGTGGTAGGGCTCAGACTGCATTGTAATAGGCGGTCTGTGGTTTGCTCTTCTCTACACTTGCATGTCATGGACTCCACTTTGTGACCCCATTTCTTAAGGTTGGCTCTGCATCTCGTGGTGTCAGAGTGCAGTCTATTCAGTGCCTTCCAAGTTGTCCAGTCTTCTGTGTGCCCAGGGGGGAATCTGTCATTCAGTATCAGCCATGGCTTGAGGTTCTGGGTTTTTGCTTGCCATTTTTGGACTCTCACTTGCTGAGATGTTCCTGCGAGTATAGTTAAGATTTAACTTAACCTGATTCAGCGTGGTATAAATAGTTGGGCTAGATCTCCAGGAGAGCAGAATTTGAATCCTTGCACAGGCCTCAAACCCTTTTGGCTGTCTTTGAGCAAGACATGCTCTGTCATTCTTATATGAATGCACTGGCAAAACCTTTCTGAGTAAATTTTGGTAGAAAAAAAAATGATAGATTCACCTTAGGCTCAACGTATGTTAGAGTTTCTAACAAGAGATGCCATGTGCCTTCTATTCAACTGGGCATGGTTAGATAAGCAGTGTCATCATGTTGAGGGTGGTAAGAAACATGAGCACAAATCTGTTCCTGTTGTTCTTTGCTGCGGTTTACTATGACATTTAAGTACGACCAGTGTTCTAGAAATGCTTCCAGCATTGAAATGCATGATTACAAAGAAGTGACAAAGACACTGATCTAGTTAGCTGTTTAATAAATGGGCTTAGGTCATTGGAACCAAACATGCACATGTTTCCAAGGGCGTATCAAAGTCATTTCAGATTAGAGGATCTCTTTCCAATCTGGACCAAGATGTAGTAGTTCTCTTTCTCACAGTGGTCAAGTTCATTTTGGAAAAACAAGTATAGCATAATCTTAAAATATACCTTTAAGCACTTAGTAATGAGAGAAGGCAAATAATCCATTAATAAGGCAAATTGGATTTAGTTTAGCTTGTTTGTTTCAGAAGGATGGTTTTCCAGAAATAACTTTCCAAATGAGTTAAGAGCCTTTTTCACTTTTTAACAGTGGCTTTTAAAGTCTTGCCAATATGTGACATAGCTCTTGGTTTAAAAATAAAACAAAATAGAACGAGTGCCTTAGTTGTTGTAAGAGAACTCAGTATTATTTGGCATTGATTTTTAAATCCTTGGATTAAATTCTGTTTTGCATTTAATTGTGATTCCTCCTTATGCATGTAAATCTCAGTGAGCAAGTATGGCCTTTATTTTTAATTATAATTCCTTTCCCCCATAAATTCCTTTGTGAAGTGTCTCCCATGAACAAGGAATGAGCATGCCCTTTCTGTCTTAGGTGTCTTACTTTTCCTTCTTTCTTCTGTTACGAGCAGCAGCAAGAATGCCAATTCCTCTGCAGGTTGAATATGGCAGGTCTTCATCGGTATAGAACTTTGGCATGGTTTGGCTCTGAAAATCTGATTGCAAAACTACTTGTAGCAACAGAAGTTAGTACTCTCTTGATTGCTGTATAAAGGTGTACAGCAATAAAACATCCTGCTTCTGTGTTGGTAGATGGTGGAGAGAACAGGCAAAGTCTGCCTCACATGGCGAAGTTCGTAAGCTCTCTAATATTAATACATTGAGTGAAGCTGTGTATGTGTTAGAAGGGTGTCTGAAGTCAGGAAGACCAGATCTGTAACAGAAGGGGCATGGAGAAATATTTTGTTGGTTGCTCCAAAGGAATCATTATTAAGGCCTACACCTTACTGTAGGAAGAGGTTGGCAAAACGGCCAACTCTAATTGGGAGTCTTGTTATTCAGCTCATGTGAGTGTGCTACTCACATGAACATGTTGATCAAAGCAGCTCCTGATGCTACTTCTTGGAGGTCTTGTCTTGGTAACTTGGAAAATTAAGCCAGCAGATACACTCCTGAATTATTAAAGTGGCTGTAGGTGGGTGAAAATGATAAGAATAGTGGAACACAATGTGGTGCCATAATATAGATTTCACACTCAGTGTAGTTTGTGTTGATTGTGGAATGGTTAACTATCTAAAAAGGAGAGGCAGATGCCTGCAGGATGCTGCTCTTTCTGGTCTTTCCGTTATATCTTTGAAATCTGATTAGTATAGTCTCCAGCCTTGTGATAGGCTAATCTATAATATGACTTGTTATGACCAAGAAGGTGGTAGGGGCATGTGGGTAAGCAAATGTGTAAATATTAAGTAATATTGTTCTGTTAATATTCTGGATACTGTTCCTGGTGTTGCAAGCTTTGGCCTAAATCTTATTGATAGTCTTATATAGAATAAGAGCTATTGCATCAATGAGAATTTGTAAGCGTTGATTCACCATATACCACATGATCCAGTAAATTATTATTGTTGGTAGGGTTCAGACTTTTTGGAATTGTTAACTGAACATTTAACGTTGCATACAACAGATGATTTGGAATAGACACTATTATTTGAGTAAATGGGGGAAGTATATATAATATATAATCTAGGCATGGTTTCTGACAAAATATTAGAAAGGACTTGCTATTTTGATTCCATATGCCCAAACACTTGATAGATGTGTCTATTTTTTTCATGTCGGGAGTAACTTGAGAAACTGCAAGTCCCTTCTGGTATGAGAGAATTGACTGTCGGCAAGGACGTTACACAGGGGATGCCTAGATGTTTGATGTTTTACTATCCTTGTGGGAGGCTTCTCTCATGTCCCCACATGGGGAGCTGGAGCTGACAGAGGGAGCTTTCCCTGGATTCAAACCACTGACCTGTCGGTCAGCAGTCCTGCTGGCACAACTGTTTAACACTTTGTGCCACCAGGGGCTCCAATATATGTCTATGATAATGAAGGATCCACATTGGGACTGAGATAGTCTGTTAAATTTGGCGGGGGTTGGATTTCACCTGTATTGTCTATGGATAAAATACGGGGAAATGTATGAAACTGTCCTATAATGAAGTGTTTCTGTTGGTCTGGCTGCAGCTCTTCAAGAATGATTCTTAGGCCTTTTGCCCAAGATCCTTTGAGGTGCCAGACATTGAATCTGCAATGCCATGCATGCATACCATATGTTCTGCTACTAAGTGATCACTTTGCAATTAAAATACAGATGCTGGTGTTTAAAATGCCAGATTAGTCTAGTTCTGGTTGTTAGTGTGCATCTGTCCATTTGGAATGAGTTTGCAGGTTAAATTCCGAAACCATTGCTGTCAGCCCTATTGCTCTTGAAGCAGCTTTGAGCCCGATTTACGACAAAATCCATTTTGACTCTTTTCTTCTCGTTCCTAGTTGTTGCCATATATGACTACACAAAGGACAAGGATGATGAGCTGTCATTCATGGAGGGTGCAATCATTTATGTTATCAAGAAGAACGATGACGGCTGGTATGAAGGCGTTTCCAACAGAGTGACTGGCCTGTTTCCTGGAAACTATGTTGAATCAATCATGCACTATGCGGATTAAGGTCCCTCTTCAGGCCAGGTCTTGTATTCAATCATGCCATAATTATTTACAAAGGGTAAACTTAAAAGGTTAACACTTGTCTTAATACTCTTTTAAAACGTGCCCATCTTTCCAGGCCATACTGTTTAAATGGTATGATTGAATGTTCATCCGTAAGCATTTGTCTCTACAGAGTTTGTAAAACGAGCAACTGTTTATTACTGATTATGCTTATTTACTTAATGCATTGTTGATTTCTATGGCCAGCCTAAATATTCTGGGGAAGTAGGGTATATAATATTTAATGACTCATGATTCAAATTGTGCCATTACTTTTTTTTCAGTGCAGCATGGTAAACTAACAACTATGTTAGACTAACTTTAAATCTGGTTGGAAATTTTTGATAGTGCTGGTCATTTACCTTTGTTTAGATTTCTGCTCATCCTCCAAGTATAGTATTCATTTAAAAGCATGCATACAAACTTATGTATTGAATTATACTTTTTTTCCAGAAAAATCCAAGATGCTTCCAATTTGTTGTAATCTTTTACCTGGAGTACTTTCACTAAAAGTTTATTCCAATGAGTCATTTGAGTTTCTGAGGTGTTCATGTGAATCAAAGATGGGTGGTCTTATGATGTGTATGTACTTTGTACCTGAGGTTTATTTTTTTTTAATTTTTTTGGAGTAAAATTGCATTGAATTTTCCATTCATAAAATACATAAGTGAACCAAAGGTCTTGTCCATTACGTCTGTTGGCTTGCCTTGCAAAGCAATATTAAAGCAGCGATTTAGCAAACTTCCCCCTTCTCAGCAGGGTTGCCATTTGATTACAAGTCTGCAATGAAAAATCCCCTTAAAGCAGTGGTTCTCAACCTTCCAAATACCGCGACCCCTTAATACAGTTCCTCAGGTTGTGGTGACCCCCAACCATAAAATTATTTAATTATATAATTATTTCTACTTCACAACTGTAATTTTGCTACTGTTATGAATTGTAATAACATCTGAAATGCAGGACGTATTTTCATTTACTGGACAAAATTTGGCACAAATACTCAATATGCCCAAATTTGAATACTGTTGGGGGTTGATTTGTCATTTGGGAGTTGTATTTGCTGCGATTTATAGTTAACCCGCAATCAAAGAGCATTCTAATCTCCACCAGTAATAGAATTGAACCAAACTTGGCACACAGCATACCCATGCCCAACAGAAAATACTGGAAGGGTTTGTTGGACATTGACCTTGAGTTTTGGAGCTCAATGTAGCTACATCCAGAGAGCACTGTGGACCCAAACAATGATGGATTCGGACTAAACTTGGCATGAATACTCAATATGCCCAAATGCAAACACTGGTGGAGTTTTGGGAAAATAGACCTTGACATCTAGGAGTTGTAGTTACTGGAATTTATAGTACACCTACTATCAAAGAGCATTCTGAACTCCACTAATGACAGAATTTGGTCAAACTTTCCACACAGAAATCCCATGACCAACAGAAAATACATTGTGACCCCCCGTCCCTCAGGTTGAGAAACGCTGCCTTAAAGGAAAAAGAAGTTTCTTTATGTAAAATTGCACAACTCCTAAGCTTCATTTTTTGTGACTGGAAATGATGACATCAGAAGACTACCACTTATGCCTCTTTGAATAGTTAGTGTCAGGACAAGCACGGTAATAACAGGGTTGCGGGGGATTTGTTTTTCTTCATTTACCACATCACTTAAGCGTTGTCCATTTAACTATGAAGGTCTCATATCCTGCTGAAAGTGAAACTGCATCAGTGGAGGGATTTGCTACTGACTTGTCCACATTCACTGTACTGAAGTAGATTACTGGGGTGGGGGTTAGATGTCTCTATGAATAATACGCAGAACCTGTGGGCCCAGATGGAGGTGAGCAATATCAGAGATGCTTATCCATGCATCTCCTTGAGAGGAGCCAATATCAGCTCACCTAGGTTAGGACACAAGCTGTCACAGTTTATTTTGCTCCTTTGAGAAAGTGTGCACTTTGACACCTCCATTTTGAGCATGAGGTCAGCCGAAATTTCTAGTTTGTTTGTACAAAATTTGTATTACTTAGATACTCTAAGACAGACTATGATTTAGGAAGGGATTTGTTTCTTTTTATTTAGGAAACCTGTATTTGGGGCATTCAGTGCTGCTCTGATGGATATTAAGCAGGTGTACTGGATGTGTGAAAGCGGTTGCAATTATTTTCTAGTGTGACATTAAACACTGAAGGAGTCCTCGTCTCCTTACCTTAAAAAAATCTAATTATATTCAATGCTTTTTTGCCTTTTCCTAATTGTTAACATGTTATTTCTGAGAAGAATTAGCATCCCATAAAATCTCTGTATTTCCCTTTATAAATTGGACCATCTCTTCATCTGTATATAACCTGTTTTAATTACAAAATTTTATGTACAGTCTTTTATAATAAACCGATCTCCTTTAATTTTCTGGGTACTCTGAGATTCTAACAGGCAATTAGGTCACTCAAGGTATTTTTGTAGTCCCAGCAACACACCAGGGATTACAGAAATGAGTTTTTTCATCACATTGATTGTATTTATTCTTTGTGGCCTTCAGTGTCAATATTGAACAATGTAAACAGTGCCCAGTGAAACAAGAACCCTCCTTGTAAAAAAAGAGAAAAAAAGAAGAGAGACCACGCAGACACAGGGCATTGCTACCAGCTTAACAGACAGATCATGTTTTCATCTTTTTGTATGGCTTCCTTCAATAAAACATTTGTACTTCATATAAACCCTAGTTATATTTCTTTCAGTGAGGATAACTTATTTTATTTTATTTAAAAAAGGATGGTTACTGTGCTGGAAGTAAGCCAAGATGTTCTGCAAATATAGTTTTAGGCACAGTCTGGTAAATTAGCTGCCAGAATGAATGGAAGGAGATGTGTCATTTGTCTCGGGCGAGAACAATTTCTGCCAGCTGAACAAGGGCGTCTCTTTCCGGGGAGGGCCTGAGCTTGCTGATCTCTCTCATTGCTTCATGGCAGTAGCGCTGGGCGAGGTAAGTGGTCTGCTGTATACCTCCACTCTGAAAAACAAAGAAACAGCGCTGAAGGTCTGCAAGTGGAAATTACCGTATTTACTCATGCATCTCTCTCTCCTTTTTGGCTAAAAAACATTACTATGTGTATCTCTCTCTTTTTTTGGCTAAAAAACATTGCTAAAATTAGGGTGCACATTAGTTTTGAATATTATGGTCATCTAAGTGCCCAACCAAAGGAAAGGGAGAAGTTGCTTCAGAAGCACCATGTGGAGCAGCCATGGGAAAAAGAGGAGGAAAAACACAGAGAGGGAAGCTACTTGCTTTTAAAACATTTTCTGTGCCCCTACCCCAAGTTTAGACTGCTACTGAAGCCAAACAACTCAGTCGTTGCTGAGTCGGCCTCACAAAGTGATTTTTTCCAATTCCTTCACCTGGTATTCATTGATGGTCTCACTTTCAAATATTAACTCTGTTTAGTTTCCAAGATCAGATAGGACTTTCCTGGTTACACTATACTTCAGTCCCACTTTAAAATTACCTGCAGAATTCTGGGGCTTGTAGTTGAGTGAGTCCCAGGACTTATCTGGCTGAGAATGGGAAAAGTCCTGTCCCTCCAAACTACAAGCCCCAGAACTCTGCAGGAGGCAGCCGCCACAGGATTGAAAGAAGATGGCGAGTACTGGATGGCATATGTTCTGTTTCAGAAACTAGAGCTGATTTGATCTATCCAATGCGATTTTCTGAATCAGCACCCCAAATAACCAAACCGAATGTAAAGTTGACCAAAAACCGATTCGTAACCCTTTTGGTACTAATGTTGGAGAATGGTCCCTGGTCAAAGTGGTCCCTGGTCAAAGTGGTCCATGGTCAAAAAAAGGTTGGGAACAACAGCTGTAACACAAGACACTATAGTGAATACGATCTGTTTTATGTTATTTTTTCCTTACCTGTAAAACATATTCCTGGGCACGTTGGACATCTCCTGGCAAATTAAATCGCCTCATTATCATGGTATTGATTTCTGGAAACTGAGCAGAATGAAGAACAAAGATTAACTCTACCTCCAAAAATCTATCCTTGAAGTATACAGCATTGTATTCAACTGACTGCAAACTTGGGGAGCATCATCTTACCCTTTTGCTTCACAATCCAAGCAGATTTACAAAACCTTCCCAAAAGTTAGTCCCAAACTTTCCCCCAAAAAGATAATTTTCATACAAATCAGGCTAAGTGAGATTAATATTTCTGTAAATGTGATTTATGTAACAGGTACCTAACTTCACAGATCTATGTTTTAATTCAGTTGTGAGGGCGGATTGTAATATATTTTAGAATTGGACTACAAATCAGAAAAAAGAGGGAATGGTTACAGTGGCTGGAAACTATCAATAATGGATTAGAGCAGGTTAGTAAAAAGTACACTTGCAGATCCACCGCGGGGGACATGATAATTTTGCCATGTTTTTTTTTCCCTTGGGAGAACTCTTTGTCAAACAAAGTGAACCTGAATGTGACTGAGTTCCTGTTTTTTTAAAAAGGAAATTATTTTTTTAAAGTAACTCCTCCCTACAAGAACTATATGGCAAGATTTTTTTCCATGTCAGGAGCAACTTGAGAAACTGCAAATTGCTTCTGGTGTGAGAGAATTGGTGGTCTGCAAGGACATTGCCCAGGGACACCTCGATGTTTTACCATCCTGTGGGAGGCATCTCTCATGTCCCCACACGAGAAGCTCGAGCTGACAGATGGGAGTTCACCCACTCCCCGGATTTAAACCACTGACCTTTCAGTCAGCAGTCCTGCTGGCAAGATTGCTCTAACCTATCAACAAACCCTACTACATTAGTTATTTTTGACTATGTCATAAGAAAGTGGGACATTATAACTAAGAGTTGAATGTTACTTTAGAACTGGCGTGGACAACTTCGGCAGGTCTGAGGGCTAATGCATGCTGGGAAACACCACCCCCAGTCCTGCTGGTTCTAAGCACACACATACCCCATGCAAACTGAACCATACCTCCTAAACATCAAACCCCGCTCCCCTAGTCCAGAAGACATATATTTGTGTTGATTGGCAATCCTATTCCATAAATCCTATTCCTTAAATATAAGCCTTGATTTGCAGAATGGGCATCTTTCATGTGCCAGCTGAACTGTTTAACCTATGAAGAAGACAGTTTCTTTATTAAACCTACCTGCTGACATGCAAATAATACAGGACCAGTGGCTATTCCAAGCTTAAGGTCTGCTGACACTGGCTTCCCTAACTGCTCAGAACAGGATGTAAAATCCAGCACATCATCTATGAGCTGCAAACAGAGAACAACCAATGTTATTACAGTATACACCTTAAGATCTTCTAACAAAGCACTCACGGAATAGTTATAACATATGTGCTTTCAGTTTGTTACTACAACTTGCTTCTTATGAGTGTTTCCTTAGTTACCGATGGTACGCCCTACCTGAAATGCTATTCCAATATTTTTTCCATATTGGTACGCTATTTCATGAACTTTGGGATCAGGGCAAGCTAGAATAGATACCTGAAAGGGAAACAAAAGAAAACAGCTTGTAAATGTACACTGTTTGTACATGTGGCACAGGAACAGTAAACACCTGAAGAGAGAGAAGAGAAGTCTTCATTAGTTGCATTCCTGACCACCCCCAGAAACTATTTACACATTTAAGCACGCACAAACTTAGACCTATTAAAAAAAACATGAAGCCAGACAGACTGCAGCATGAAAAAAAATTGCTCTGAATATAAATTAGCCCGATTAAATATTTATTATGGCTGCTCATATCACTGCCAAGGCAGAATTATGCCTTGCAAGCTGATTGTCCATTGCTAATGCAATGACAATTTGAGTTGATCACTACATGCATAAATATATATTGGGAACATGGGGAGCTAAGAAGAATGGTAAAGATACTGCCTATGGCAGGTATGGGCAAATCCAGGCCTGGGGACCGGTTGCGGCCCCTTAGGTTCTTTTCTCAGGCCCTCCTCTCTCTCACCATCCTATCCTTTATTCCTCCTCTCTTTTCTTCCTTCTTCCCTCCCCTCTTTCTCCTTCCCTTCCACCCTTTCATTCTTTCTTCCTTCTTTCCTCCCTCCCTCCTTCCTTCACTCGTTTCCCTTCCACCTATTCATCCTTCCTTCCTTACCTCTCTCCCTCTTTCTCTCTCCTTTCTTCTCTCTTTCGATCCTCCCTCCCTTCCTTCCCTACCTTTCTCCCTCCCTCCATTCCCTTCCACCCTTTCCTCCTTTTTCTTTCCTTCCTTCTCTCTTTCCTTCTCTTTCCTTCCTTCCTTCCTTCCTTCCTTCCTTCCTTCCTTCCTTCCTTCCTTCCTTCCTTCCTTCCTTCCTTTCCCTTCCACCTATTCATCTTTCCTTCCCCTCTCTCCCTTTCTCTCTTCTTTCTTCTCTCTTTTGATCCTCCCTCCCTCCCTTCCCTCCCTCTTTCTCCCTCCATTCCCTTCCACCCTTCTTTCTCTCCTTCCTCTTTCCCTTCCACCCTTTTACCCTTCCACCCTTTCCTCCCTTTTGTCTTTCCTTCCTTCTCTTTCCTTCCTCCTTACATCCCTCCCTTTCCTCCCTCTTTCTCTTTCCATTCTTCCGCGCTTTCACCCTTCTTTCCCTTTCTCTTTCCTTCCTCCTTCCCTTCCACCCTTTCATCCTTCCATCCCTTTTGACTTTCCTTCTCCCTTTCCTTCCTCCTTACCTCCTTCCCTCCCTCTTTCTCCTTCCATCCTTCCACACTTTCACCCTTCCTTCCTTTCTCCTTCCTTCCTTCCCTTTTCTCTTTCCTTCCTTCTCTTTTTCCATTATCCTTCCTTTCCTTCCTTCCATTCTGGCCACATAGTCTTGGAGGTGTCTATGGACAACGGTGGCTCTTCGGCTTAGAAACTGAGATAAGCACCAGCCCCCAGAGGGGAAACCTTTACCTTTACTTTTTAGCCTGAGTCAAAACTTGAACTAGTGATAATAACTCTTAGAACTAGGAAATAATATGCATATATATATTCTATAGTCTCTATTAAAAAATCAAAACAAATAATCAGGTGGGAGACACTGAGAAACCAGTCATTCAATGGCAAAATGTAACATAACAAACAGCAGAATTCTGGTATCATAATACCAGAATTAGGAATTATTCATAAACAGATCATTGTGAATGTACGTTCTGCAAAAGCTGGATAATACAGATCAGTGAGGGTTACTCCATTTTGAAAGTATAACTCCCATGCTTGCTGTTGACTATGGGCAGGGTCACCAAAATATTATTTTTGATCCCCTCTTCCTACAATTTTCCTTAGATTGGGACACTGACATGAACAAAGGCTGAATAGCTATTAAGTCCCTTCATCCTGCTAGGGATGGATGGCCAAATGTGTGATATTAAGGGCAAAGTGGCATTAATCTATCAGATTTTGGGGGCAGGAGCACAACCAATCCCAATGCAAAGAACCTCAATTTTTTTGTCCCTAAGTCGTAAGGGCTGTGGAGGACATTTTTCACCATGTTTGCCGTCTTCCCAGAACTCAGTTTTGGCTTCCTGCTTACTTCACGTTTTAAAAAATGCCTTTCCTGGATTTAAAGCAGGCTCATAATATAAAGAAAATGCCACCTAGGCTTTCTGAAGGGCATTGAGTGCAATTTCTTGATCCTTGGAAGACTCTGAAAGCAAAATCTCATCTCTGGGGACCGTACTTCATCCATCCTGCTCTAAGGCATGACACATATCGGCAAATTGTTTGCAATAAGTTGGTTTTTAGTGCCAGAGAAGCAGGAAGTAAATAGATCTTTAAGCTAGCAAAGAAAAGAAGTGCCAGAATCTCATCTCTACATCACAGTATTATTAACAACAGGAAAGACGGAACGTACATACTGCTTTACAGCTGTGTGCTATAAGGCTAGCGGTCTTCTTAAAGGTTTTCTCGAGGTAGTGAGCAAATCTCTCATTTTCATTTTCTTTGGAACCCAGCTGAAGAAATTCACCTATAAAAGAGGAGGTCACCGATATCATTCAACTGGTTACCTAGACAAAATGTCATCACGTTTCGCTAGATATGTTCTTAAAAAGCCTTACCACGCACCAGATCCTCAATTGCCCGTGTTAGCACAGAAACAATGGTGGTGTTTCCAATACGTGCTAAAGTTTGTGATGCTACGGCCAGGATGAAATCACCAGCTAGGACTGCCTGGAAAAGAATGAATTGCTTTAAAACAGAAAGAGACTTTTTGTTTTAGAATGCATCAAAATTGTCCCCTTCTCCTGATAATCTATATACCTAATGAAAAATTTTATGTATGTGTGTGGCTGGGGTTCCCACTTCCACAGACAACATGCATTGGTTGCAATTCAAAGCATATGTCGCAACTCAGAGTAGTTTCCACCTTGCTCAAGACAGCAGCACACATCAAGGCTGTAGTTTTGTAATTTATTGAGAAAAAGCAAAATTAAAACAGAAAAATAAAGATGCAAAAGTTCAATAGGCAAAACAGTGTCTTAAATGACTTGGCCACGGTAGTCCACGCTCTGGTTACATCCCGCTTAGACTACTGCAACGCTCTCTACTTGGGGTTGCCCTTGAAGACTGCTCGGAAGCTCCAAATGGTCCACCGTTCGGCAGCCAGGTTGCTAACAGGAGCGGCACTCAGGGAGCACACCACTCCTCTGTTGCGCCAGCTCCACTGGCTGCCAATCTGCTACCGGGCACAATTCAAGGTGCTGGCTTTAGCCTATAAAGCCCTAATTTTATTTATTTCGTGTACTTATACCCCGCCCTTCTCAACCCCCGAGGGGGGACTCAGGGCGGCTTACAAAAGGCACATCTTGGTGCCTACACAAATACAATAACATATAAAACCAGCAATTAAATGGTCAACAATTAAAAACACTTAAAAACAATATATCACACAATCGATAGCCAATCTCAGACACAGCGTTCACCAACTCAGAGTTCATATTTCGTTCCACCATTGTCCAATATCCATCGTCACAGTCCTTTATTCATCTGCCAGATTGCCCAAACGCCTGGTCCCACATCCATGTTTTTAATTTCTTTCTGAAGGAAAGGAGGGATGTTGATGATCTAATTTCCCCGGGGAGTGAATTTCATAGGTGAGGGGCCACCACTGAGAAGGCCCTGCTCCTCGTCCCCGCCAATCTCACTTGTGACAGAGGCGGGGCGAGAGCAGGGCCTCCCCAGAGGATCTCAGACTCCGAGATGGGACGTAAAGGGAGATGCGTTCGGACAGATACGCTGGGCCGGAATCGTATAGGGTTTTGTAGGTCAAAACCAGCACTTTGAATTGTGCTCGGAACTGGATCGGCAGCCAGTGGAGCTGACATAACAGGGGGGTGGTATGCTCCCTGTATGACGCTCCGGTGAGCAATCTGGCTGCCTCCCGCTGGACTAATTGAAGTTTCCGAACAGTCTTCAAAGGCAACCCCACGTAGAGTGCGTTGCAGTAATCTATCCGGGATGTAACAAGAGCGTGGACCACCATGGCCAGATCCGGCTTCCCAAGATACGGGCGCAGCTGGTGCACAAGTTTTAATTGTGCAAAAGCTCTCCCGGCCACCGCCGAGACCTGGGGTTCCAGGCTCAGCGATGAGTTCAGGATCACTCCCAAGCTGCGAACCTGCGTCT